ATTACAGGTGAAATGTGGTTCTGCAAAATAAAGGAATATAAACGTGATAAACCACATATTAGGTTAGTAAAACGTACCTACTGCAATGAGGCGAGGCGTACGTGCTACGTATGCACAAATGTACATGTTCAATAACGATGATTTTCGTCAGATTAGGTCAAAAACTTTATGCTAAAATCATGCCAATTTAATTACGGTCTAAGATTAAAAACACTATATCATGCATGTCTTTATATATCAATAAAGGGCTGATTTTACTCACATGTCATCAATGACGCACAGAAAGGGTAAACTTTTGGTAAATTACAGTAACACAATTCCAGCAGTAATAATAATAACAGGTTCTTATATAGCGATTTAAACTGAGATCAAAGTGCTTTACATTAGCAGTACCACTTATCATAATTTATGCCATAAACAGATGTCAGCGTCATCAAACTTATGAATTATGTACATATGTACATCGTCGGTCCGCGCGTGATCCACCAGCACGCCACCGTACAGTACTTACATTGTACCGGGTGCCACGTGTAACATGTACGACTCGGCCATAATTGCCGTACACGCGACCTTCGGACGATGCCCCCTCCTCTACCACAATCGGTGTGGTACTGTCATTACTTGTTTTATAGGTGCATAAGTTAAAACCATTGATCTCCATTAGTATAAGTCTTACTAATGGAGATCAATGTAATAGAGATCAATGGTTAAAACACAGAGCAAGTTAAATGCGAACGATGCCCGGTTATCTTTATCATCATTGTAGGAAATTTCGAATAAATTTAATCCAATCGAAATTTGTTCGGTGATGTTGACAAGTAAAAAAAAAAAAAGGAGGCACCGGCAAAAGCAACAACAAAACAGGCCCAATATTTTATTTTCAGTTAAAGCACAAAACACATTTTGAAATTTTGTAAGACAAAATAATATACATGTACTCAAAAAATTGGGAAGAACGATAAAACTTGATCCACTCGTCAGCTCATGGTGTTGCTTGAGATCCAATGCCGCTTGGAGGTTGTATACATACCCAGAATTGGGCCTAATGCAAACATCAAAATTTGGGAGATTCGCCATGTTGTTTGCGACCATATGTGCTTCTTCTAATGCACCGTTTAAGCTTGCATGGTGAGCCCATACATTTTCCTCGATTAAAAAACAGTTTGGTAATTTTCTTGGTAAGACCACCAATCCTCTTTGGCACAAAAATCATTACACAAACTTTTTCTGCATGCAGGAAAAGTATCAGCTTCATAGTTAATCTATTGTTCCCTGTGAAAAATATTGAGACATGCTAGGTCAACCATCCCATACACGTACACTAGGGTAAAGGATAAATCATTAGCATCTCCAAGGATTGCTGTGGTTATGGCGTTACGCAGTCCACGGATGCACACGGAAGTAATTGAAAACCGCGGAGATTTTTCATCAGGAGAAATTTTTTTCAACGACAGAAATAAGATTTTGATATTACAGATTTAAACCCATTAATTCAAAATAAATTCTTTATTCAATAGCTTTTATTAAAATATTAACAAGGTTTCTGTAAATATGGTAAGTTGTACGGTTGTCAAAAGGAAAAGAGTAAAAATAAACAAAACAAAAAACAATTAATGCAAGCGTTCACGATAAAGTATTCCTACCTACAGTTTTGAATGCAAAATGTAATAATAAATCATGGAACAATATGTATGCAAAATAGTAGGAATATAAGGCCAAAAAAAATAATAAGTCGGTCTCTGGTCAGCGCGCGCGTCGATTTTAATCATGCGCGTCGATCTTTTTTTCCCCAAAATGTTCCGCGGTAGCTCCAACAGCGACCTCTATTTCCGCAGCTCCTCAATTTGTTTTACCAAAGAGCACCAAGGAATGGGAAACTGCACCAAGGCAAATGATCGAAAGCACCAAGGAAAATTATGGAGGACACCAATGTACATGAGGACACCAAAAAAGCAAAATAGTACCCCACCTTGTCTGTACAATCCAAGCTTGAAGAAAAAAAAAAAAAAAAAATGATAAACCACATATTAGGTTAGTAAAACGTACCTACTGCAATGAGGCGAGACGTACGTGCTACGTATGCACAAATGTACATGTTCAATAACGATGATTTTCGTCAGATTAGGTCAAAAACTTTATGCTAAAATCATGCCAATTTAACGGTCTAAGATTTAAAACACTATATCATGCATGTCTTTATATATCAATAAAGGGCTGATTTTACTCACATGTCGTCAATGACGCACAGAAAGGGTAATTTGAGAACGAAGCAACACACAAGGAATGGGAGTTGCTGAAAAAATTGTAAGTCCAAACCAACTACATAGGCCAAGTTCGCGCAAGGACAATGAGTTAAACAATGGTTAACTAACGTCTGCCCGAACTCTGTCTAGTCAACGGTGGTTGACTACGCTTGTCGACTATTTGGAACCAGCCTACTGGGGTCGGTTGCTTCGCTGGTAACCAATAGCCGCGCGCATTCATAACGCTAGCAGAGAGCCAGGATCCAGAAGTTTTGTGATGAAATTTTGACCAGCGTTTGACTGGAGACGTTCGCACGTTGCTATCAGTGCGCAGGCGTAAGGTACGTCACAAATCAACCACTAGTCGAATAATTTAAAATTTGTGATTAAACATATCTGAATGTTTTAAGCCACATTTAAAAAAGTGGGGCTTGGAACGTTTTCCAATCATAAAATAGTCTGACACCGTCCCATTCAATGGTTTAAAGCTTATAAAATAGATTCAGGGAACACGATCAAAAATGGCTTCGTCGTGAATCTATAGGAAAGTATTAAAGTACCTGGTCGTAGTACTCGAACGTTGCCAAGTTGAGTTGGAGCAAAGAACGAGTTCCAAAGATCACGGACTTCTATTGATTCGAACTGGGTGTTGTTAAAGAATTTCCTCGCTTCATAATCTGTGTTCATGAAAACATTTCTATTTTTATGACAACTGGCAGTAAGTGCGAATGATAGGCCCAGGAACATTTTAGAATGTAATATCAGAAAAGTCTGAATCTATAATCTCTAAAAGGATAAGCTTTTGAGGAAACACTATACTTACGGCAGTTGTAGTCAGGAGCAGTTTCAAGAAGGGGTCGCTGGTTTCCTCCTTGAGCATGGTCTCCGCAGGACTACCGAACACTGTATTGGACGGACACCAACGAAGTAGCATGAAAGACTGAAGTTGAAATCTAAATAAGGCCCGTTATTGGGCTCAGAATGAACAAAAACAACTGTTGTGCCCGAAAATTTCATTTTATTCAGTTTTGGGCCCATGCACGTCGACAGGTTGCTCTGCAAACTGCCAGCCAATTACCGGGACAGGTTCGTCGATTAACATTGCATCAACCGAGGAATCTTGAAAGCCGATTCTGACCAAACATACACCTTGCTCCACTTCGCCGACTGGCTACAAGTCCAGTCCCGAGCCAAGCGCATAGCCGGACAAGCAGTCACTGCCCACAGGGATGACGGCTCCAGATCTGACAAGAGAGAAAGAGGTTTTGAGAGGAAGAAAACTTCTCCCACAACCAGTGGCGTAGCCAGGAATTTTTCAGTGGTGGGGGGGGGGGGGGGGGGGGGCTGGAACATTTCATGGGGGGGGGGGGATTTCTTGTATCGTGATTTAAATCGCCCCACGGAAGACAGTGTTCTAATAGGATTAATAGTATTCCACTAATCGGGGAATTTGTACATGAATATAGCAGTGTGAAATTTATTAATATCAGCAAGAGTAAGGGTGCTTAACTGTGCAAATAGATGTGAACAATGTTCTCTAGGCGATGAAAAAGTGCAAATCCGAACAGCCCTTTTTTGTGCAAACAGCCCTTTTTTGTTATGAACGTGGATTGTTTACTTTCGTTTTGACGGGGACTTGACTGAATAGAGTCTGGCGACTGTACATAGAAATTTCTTTGAATAAAAGTCGAATCGTTCATTCATGTGCACTTGTTATGCAAAGTGGGGGCAGTGGTTCAAGGATATCTATGTCGACATGCAGAAAGTGTGCAAGAACGCGACTTGAATGCTTTTATGTGTTCACAATACAACGACGCTGTTTAGTTATTTCACTGTGTGACACAGTGAGCCATTTTGCAATCATAATGGCGTCAGCGATACTTGCTGGGGAGCTCTTGCGTACGACTTTCTGTACTTCGGTACTGTTGTCTCCTGAACAATTGTGTGTACGGTAACCCGACGAACCCAGATTTTTAAAGACGAAATTGCCGACCTCAAACTTGTTAGTGCCATATTTGGCAACTATATGTGCGTTATTAGTTTAATTAAACAAATGAACAGGTTAATTAAACATAGTACCATTGAAGGTACCTACAAGTAAACATAACAGCATAGAAGACCCACAGACGAACATAAAATATTACAAAATACACATATTTGTCTGGATATTTTTTTTAGGGCGTTACCGGCAAGTTGGTGTCAAACAGATCATGTCGCCCCCCCCGAGAAACACACCCCCAGTGGAACATTCATGGGGGGGGGGCGTCATGTAGATCAACGATAATTTTTTCATGGGCTGTAACCACCTACTCCTGGGGCTGAAACATGGTTTCCTCTTTACAGTCCGTGAGGATGTAGGTTTGGGTATCATCCATTAGAAACCTGGCCGGTAGAGCAGAACGCACCACCTCCCCAACTTTCACGAAGCAATTATGGTTAAGTGTCTAGGTGGATTCGAACCCACACCCAGATGACGTAGCCACCAAGACTTAGCCACCGAGTCCGATGCACTAACCTCTCAGCCATGACACGCCAAATGCACGACGTTAGAAATGAATGACAATACCGAGCGATTAGGGAAATCATTATGGAAACTGACTGTACGAATACGGGGTTGGCCTTAATGTTTAAAATATGCCGCAACGATCATAAAGGTCTGACACTTTTTTGTGAACTTCAAGACTCTTAAATCGGACGGGTACCAATCTACACAGTTTGTGTCACATGTCAACCATTTTTGTTTAAGTATACACACTCTTTTTTATGCAGTAATCATTATTTATTCTCTCAACTAATAAAACTTGTAGACTGAACAGCCGTAACCGTAATAAAAAGACAATTATAACAGAAGCCATCAAAACATAGAAATAGAAACACGATAAGCCGCTTTAAATAAAACATTGGAACTGAAACATTACTTTTAAGATTCGAGTTTGACGAAGATGGGTATTATGGTATTAGCCATGCGGCATATTATTTGCAATCAGCTAGAAAATATATTCAGAATAACAAGTAACAAAAGTCAGATGTGTATGCTTGCAAGCATACACGTAAACTTTATATCTGCGAACCAAGAAACTTCATTTCCGATACTACTTACTTGATTTATAATCAAAGCTTAAAGGAACATATTAGCAAAGTAAAGAGAATGAGAGATGATTTAGTCGCGAATAAAAAAGAACCTTCACCAACCTTGATTGAATAAAAGACCACAACCAACCTATAATTATAGCAATTAACAACAAAGCAATGTCAAGTCAACTCCAGTATTCTTGCCAAATGAATAATTCATTTAACCTTCTGAGGATAATGATATCGAAAATAATTCATTTAACCTTTTGACGATAATGATATCAAATAACAACTTCATTTAACCTTGTGAAGATAATGATATCAGATGAATAATTCATTTAACCTTGTAAGGATAATGATATCAAATGAATAATTCTTTCAACTTGTGAGGCTAATAGTCATATGAATAACTCATTTAACCTTGTGAGGATAATGATATCAAATAAAAAAATTCCTTTAACCTTGTGAAGATAATATCAGATGAATAATTCATTTAACCTTGTAAGGATAATGATATCAAATGAATAATCCATTTAACCTTGTGAAGATAATGATATCAGATGAATAATTCATTTAACCTTGTAAGGATAATGATATCAAAATGAATAATTCATATAAACTTGTGACGATAATTGAATCAAATTACACTGCACCTCTGGAGTACAGCTATGTAGGAATGTGTGGCCTATCATTGAAGCTCCGCCCACATTACACCCACCCTGATGTCGAATTTGATTGATTATTGGTGTGGAACAATACAGCTGCTGTCCAAACAGTCATCCATGTCGTCATCCGGGCCTTATTATCAACAAATATTGTTAACGTAATACACTCACGCGCACAGAGAAAAACTACTAGCATCTTTCATTTTTCGTTTCTCAAACTTTGACAATGACTAAAACTTCGAACGGTTTTCTAACGCGTATCTAATCTTATCAAATCGGGTTCTGGGTAATGATTTTAAGCCTTTTTCTCAACCTCGGCCGTGTATGTTTCGTAGTCTAAGTCGGCCATAGTGTTAGCTTGGAACTCCACAGCAATGCCATTAAACGCCTTCTTTACATCGTGTTTGTGGTATGAGTAGATCATCTTGTCTCCCATTTTAGCATTGTCTTCATCAATCCTGCGGGAACAATTAATCTCAGGTTATTAAATCATATCGTCAAAAATCCTGCATTGATAACAATATGAATGTTGATCATTTTACCTGTGTTTTACCCCTGCACCAATATGTTCTAAGTGCTGAATTCTCAGTACTTTCTCAAGTCCATTGAACAAAAAATCCACAGGCACAATACTTAGGTGGGGGTTCGAACCTATGGCCTTTGCTATTCTAGAGCAGATGTCTTACCACAAGACCAACGAGCTTGCCCAGTATTTAACAATATTGAACTGGTCTAGTGGTAAAAGATCACTTTGAATTGATATAGGTCGAGGGTTCGAATCCCACCCGAGTAATCATTTGTGATCTGTTTTCTTAGGACTCGGGAAAGTATAGAGTGCAAAACACACACCGGCGTACGGGTGAAACACAATGCTCTTTATCCCACCTAGCATCTAATAAAAAAATGGATCAGGACGGATTTGTGCTGAAAACGTTTGGGGGAAGGTAAAATTTTAACTGTATTCGTTTTGAACGAGAATCGGGAAATAAATGCCTCAGCAACTAAGATGGCTGTATACGTACCAAAAAATGAAAGCAATCTTGTTTATCTTGCGACCTTCCTTTGAGTAGAATTTGAAAGCATAGAGAATATATCGTGGTTCAGAAGTCAGTTTGGCCTTCATCTCATCGAACTGCGTTTTATCGCCATAATTGTCATTTGGTTCAGCACTTTGATCCTTGATGATTTTCTTCTTATTCTCTATTTTGAAGGTAACCCACTTCAAGGTGCTTCTAAGCTTCATATCGTTATAGATTGTGGAAACCTCTTCACCAACTTCAATTCCTGACATACTCTGAAATGAAATTTAAAAAATAAGAAATACGAAACGAACATAAAAAGTATGTCTGTCAATTGATACCCTCAGATAATGAGCCTCTTAATGTGTTCTTGTTTTTTGTTTATCCATAAATAGCACTGTTACTTGCTTTTACAAGACTTGGACTTCGTGAAGAATTGCAGTGTGGTTTTATAATTGTCGACACATTGGATTAATTGGTTGTCATGGCAATCAAACCATTTTTAAAATAAAACAGAGTTGTCCATGCAATAATAGTGCCATGTATTGGTATCGAGAACTCATTTATTGTCAAATGGGTGACATTAAAGTTTTTTAAAAGTAAGGAAAAAGCACATGGGTTAATCAGATAAAATTAGCACAAGAAAGACCTATATAGAGTAAAAGGGTCGTTTCTATGACAATAAACAACGTAATGTGACTTTACAGAATGAATACTAATGTGACAATACTGGTAAATAATAATGAAGGTAATGCAGGACATCTAATCACTTCCTAACCTCTTTTCTTAGAAAACTGATTCCCTTTGTGAAGCCGATACTATGCTTACAAATGTTGGCAATAATTGTTTACACACGTTTTCTTGATAAGGATATCAGAAGAAATAAAAACTGAGACTCAAAACGAAGCCTTCATTTTGAAAAGACCCAAATTTACCTGTCGATTAAAGTGTGTTATCATTACTCAAGTCAGGGTACTCTGCAATAATGCTCAGGATACCCGGCTATCTTTGGTCTCTAATTGATGTTAGATTTAGTTTGTGACTGTCGGTTATTAAAAGTGGTTTATATTAAAGAAATTTACCTTCAACATGTATAAACATTTTCAAAGTATTACTTTGTTTCCCTTTTTTGACAAGCTCCGCGTGCTGGCTTGGGATCGAGGTTGAGGAAAGGAAAACGTTTTCTTTCAACAAAGGTTTTGTGTCTTCAAATTAAGTTGCAGGTTTCTTTTACCAGTAAACTAACGTTTTCACGAAGAGACAATTTTGGCAAAAATCAATATATTTTCGAAATTCCCCTGTGTGGGCTAATCATGTATGTTCTCACCATTCTTTCAAACAAGTCCTTCAGTTCATAGCCTCGTTCTGCTTCATCAAGACCCTCCAGAAGGCGCTTGAGGAGGACTTCCAACTCGCCATCCAGGTAGCCATCATCCTGGTATCCATTCACCAAGACGTTGATAGCCACCAAAAGAAGCAACGCGGTCTTGAGTCCAAACATGATGCTTTTTTTTTTTTTTTTAAAAGGAAGGAAAGAATTCAGCATTATTAAAAAAATATATTAAAGTATCCCCTATAACACATAAATAAGTCAATGGTGAGATAAGTTAGCATTCCCGGAGATCTGTATACATTGTATATTGAACCACCCTTGTTTCCACAAGCCTGAAACTTGTTACGGTCTGTCAAACCTGTTTTGAACGAGCACGAAGTGTTGAATAGCTTTTTAGCTATTACGTGAAGTGGTCATGGCCGCGGCCGCTAATCCTCATTGGAATGCAGTTGCCAGCTGTGGTATGCCGTGGCACACGGCTAATGGGTAGTTCCGTAGCTGCTGCTTTTGTGCAGGCCCGCTACCACACAACTTCTGTGCAGTCATGCGGGCCATTTGCTCTATGTGTGGAGGAATGTCCCCATTACACGTATGTTTCAGCCGCTCATTTAGTTTGCGCGCATGCGCACTCAAAATATGAAATACTGATAAGGCCCAAAAAATAAATAAGTCGGTCTCTGGTCAGCGCGCGCGTCGATTTTAATCGTGCGCGTCGATCTTTTTTTTCCAAAATGTTCCGCGGTAGCTCCAACGGCGCCCTCTATTTCCGCACCTCCTCAATTTGTTTACCAAAAAGCACCAAAGAATGGGAAATTGCCCCAAGGCAAATGATCGAAAGCACCAAGACAAATTATGGAGGACACCAATGTACATGAGGACACCAAAAAAAAACAAAATAGTACCCCACCTTGTCTCTACAATCCAAGCTTGAAGAAAAACAAAAAGAAAAACAAGAAAAAAAAAGCCGCATCGCCGCGTCAATTCCGAAACTTTGGTCTGAACAGAGACCGAATATTTTTTTTTAGGGGGGGGGGGGCCTAATCAGCAAATTTTGATGCCTGCAGTCGCAGTTTGACCCACTGAAGTATCGGTCAACATCACGCTCGAAGTACTTTGATAACTTTTTCTTTCCACGTGGACAGGAATTTAAGGCAATCAAAGTCACTTTTGCAAACCTTAGCGCCAAAAAAAAAAAAATAATTGATGCATTTTTTTGTTTTTCCGTGTCGTGCAGTACGAAAGTATAAGGTCACAAATTCAAAACAGGCGACAGTTTAGGGGATAATTTTTAAGTTTTGCGGAGTAATTGTAAACTTGTCTTCACTGAAAAATGATAAAGGATGCCACGGAAAGTGCGATGCATAAATATCATTTAAGTCGGAAACGACGTTTTTTCGTTGAATGTAACGTTAGTGTGCACGTACCTGTGCACAGACCCTGGAATCTGGCCCGTAAACATGGCTAGCCCATGGCTATAAAACTTAAAAAACTAGATTGGACGCGCGTATGATACGCGCGTTTTGACAGGACGCTGCCATTGGTCACGTGAATAGGGTCAAAAATTTAAACGCGGCATTTCTTCCCTATGACGATCACTTGTACTCCATCACTGCTTGAAAATGGTGGCAATCTGTGCGGCAGCAAAGTTCAACTAAGACGGAGAAAGGGACCCGGAGGACAGTCTCTCAAGAAGTTAACATCATGTGTGAGTAACTTAATACACAGAATTTATCTCTTGAGAGTACATTTCGAACAAGACAGCTTTAATAAAAATTAAATCAATATAGGCTTTGTTGCGCAATGCAAAATGGGCATAAATCACAGGAATGGGCGTGGAGAAAAATCCCCCATGTGTGATCCACTGAGGATCCTCCGAATTTTGTAATAACCGCGAAGGGCCTAGGCCTACTTAAAATATTTTCAGGGTATAGTTTTAAAAGTTAAGATGGTACTCCTGATCCTGAACATCGAATAACAATTATTTCTGGCCTAACATCACCCTCCCCTCTCCCGCTTTTCAATAATAGTCCGACTCCGCGGGGGAACGAGGATTGGGAGTCACTTTTTGTTGTGGGATGTGGGTGATTAACGAAAATGCACCATTCTCCTAGTTTGAACACATCAATGAGAAATATTCCAAATGGCAGCAAATGGAATCCAACAAAGCACGATCGTCTTCGCAGCGACCATTTCCCTGCAGAGTGCTTCAAGGTGAAATGGGGGGGAAAACACGTCTGCGTGTCGATTCCGTACCGCCAATCTTTGAAGACTACCCGACTCATTTGAAGCCTGTAAGTATTACAATGAACCTTGGGGCCAGGATATGATATCAATAATTACTGTCATGTATTTAAAGGCCTAGCATGAGCTTTATTTGTTTTTTTTCGTAGAAAGACTACAGTCTCGTGTATGGACTTCAGCACGAGGGAGAAAAGCTGCCAACGGCAAGGAAAGAACCGACCCAAGCCCCCGTCGAAGATATTGCTTCAGTGCATGCATGGCTGTACCGGCAAAACAAACATCATATAGAGCATGCATACAGTCTACCACCAGAAATGGATCTACCCTCGGAAGTAGCAGGAAGGCTATATAATCCAAGCTTGAACAGGAAAACAGACAACTCCGGCAGGAAAATCGACGATCATGTCGAAAAAGATCTTATTATCCGTCAGAGAGGTGGTAAAAGGCCTGTAAGAGGAGCAACTTGTTACTCCAGAGACGGCCGACTAGATGGAAACACAGTTTCCTATTCTGCAATTGGAAGTCACTTTGCTGGAGCTGGGAAAACTGCGCCTTGCTCAACGAATCACAATCATAGTGAACAGATGAAGAAGTTTGTACTGCTCGACAAAAGCGTAGGCCCCGTCTTCGTCCGAAAGAAGATTGCACTGCCGACTGTGCGTACAGTGAGGAGATAGCTGGCCACGCATGCATAACTGGGCCTCGTGCGTGGACAATAGCTAAAATTTAACAAGTTTCGCTTAGTATTTCGTTATCGTCTTATTGTTGCTCCTCAGAAATTGAAAGATTGAATAGCCCTCTGTTTGCGTTCATGCATATGAGGAAGATACATTGGATTACTTATTCTTCTTAAATTTATGGGAAGCAATACTCACCTGCTGGTAGTTGCATAGGCTAGACCTTCACATAAAATAATATTCGGATGGTGACAACCAAATGTATTTTTTTCATGAGCAATGATATTCTTGACATCTTGATTAATGGATGATATGGCTATGGAACTGCCATTTCATCAGATTATTTGTTAGCTACCGAGTACGTTTTCATAGTGTTTATTACCTAAAAGTTATTTAAGTATTCGTTTGTTCAGTACTCACAACAGATGGCCAGAGACTTGTTTATTGAGGTTAGCAGTATTAATTGATGGCCCAATGAAAATCATCTGTCAGGTGACATGGCCACCATCTGTAAATAAAGCTATTATTGTTATTAAAGCAACGCAATATTTCGAGTGCCCGTTTTTATCGTTGCTCATTTACAAAATAATTTTCTGTTATTTCATTTTGATGTTGGTAAAATTAACAGTTTATATTTTGTCTGATAGGCAAGTAACGGTTGATTTTTTATTGCACATTTTAAAAAAGAGGGGAAAATCTAATGAAACAGGTTGACATTTAACTACGCATTTGACATTTGCCTTTGTTAAAGATATAAGAACACAATGTGGCTACTAGCTTTTCGATACAAATTAGTATTCTTGGCTGAAAATCAATTACCTTCAACACAGTCGCCAATTTGGTCCCAAATAAGACACAGAGGCAAACTCATGTGTAACTTTTCAAAGGAATATGAAATGTCACATTGTCAAAAATCGTAGTTAAAAATGTCAACCAGTTGTTAAGAACTTCAACGCATAGCTGAATTCAGATGGGGGTGTTGGCGATATTTTTCCGTCCAGCATTCACCAGCTGCCCTTTGCGCGTGGCCCTATTCACGTGACTTTGCAGCACGTCTATCCGGTTCGTTAGTAAAAACGTCATACACGTGCGCACACCACTGATTACTAGCGCCCATTGGCTGCAAACGCTCGAGCTGCGTTAACTTCCGGTTCCAATCGTGCAGAAAGCGCTGGAGGTGACGTCACACTAACGAACCGGATGAAGAACCCAGAAGTTTTGTGCACAGTGAATGGCGCGTTCGGTCGAACGCGCGTCCGATCTAGTTATTTTAAGTTCTATATCTATGGGCTAGCCACGCGCCACGCGCCGCTCCGTTTGTAATCTTTTGACGCGTTGGAAATGTATACATTTAACTGAAACGAGTTACAACTGACTGGTTCCCGGCCCTGAAATGCAGTTAAGTACGATCATAGAGGGCACTGGGACCAGTGTATTTGTGCACGAAGCTTTCAAAGTGGGTTTACTCGAAAAATGACGATTTTCATAAGCTACAGGTTTCCTTCTTACATCAAATCACCTGTAAAATGAAAATAATCTATCATCCTTTCCGATGGTATTACGGCTGATCTAAGGTAAACCCGGCAAATTGTCCAAATGTGTAAACCAAACTCAAAAGCGAACGATGTTTTGCCTTTTCATTTTGTACGTTTTTTGTCCATAATTATTGCTTTTTTAAATATATATTTGAAAAGGTTTTTAGCGCCGTTACCACACTGTAGAGACAATTTACATCTTTGTTCACTTGGTCTACTGATAATTTTTGGTTTGAATCATCTTTTAAGTACGTTTGAGAAGGATACATTTTAAGACATGAAAACCAGACAATCGTTCAGTGCGTCGTCTGCTACCGCTGTTTGCAAGCCGACGACGCGGAGGAAACCATTGCGCATGCGTGAGAAGACAACTAAATGTACGCACGGTCTATGGGGCTGAAACATACGTGATTACACCCCGTCCTTAAGGGCTAATTAGGAAAAAGAACCATTTAAAACTTATTGTTCGAACGGAGAGCTGATTGTGCTTATTGTCCAAGCATGCACGCAAGCTTCATAGACCACTGATTTGTAATGATGTCATCCACGGTCAACCAAAAAGCAAAGAATTTGATCATTGAATTTCATTCAAGGTTATTGCCAACCTCTCACGTTAGCTTCAGGCTTTGTGGAATTCAATTCAATTCAATTCAATTCAATGCAACACTTATTTCCATACTTTCCAACTCCATACATTAACATTTGTAAAGGAAAACAGAATAAAATTATAAAAGAACATTAAATTGTAATTGAAAGCAAATTAACAAATAAATAATGAATAATAATAATAATAATAATAATAATAATAATAATAATAAATCAAACAACAACAACAATAAAGGCTGAAAAGTATGGTGCTGTTCATTTATAAGCCGAAGTTACTGCAAACCTTACTAGATTGTATCTCCACAATACAAAGTTTCAAATCCAACTCATGTGTTAGTGCAAACCTTACTAGCTTGTATCTCCAACATGCAAAGTTTCAAACCCAACTCGTGTACATGGGACTACTGCAAACCTTCTAGATAGTATCTCCACCATTTAAAGTTTGAAATCCTAGTCATGTACATGGTGTTACTGCAAACCTTCTAGATTGTATCTCCACCATTTAAAGTTTGAAATCCTAGTCATGTACATGAGGACACCAATGTACATGAGGACGCCAAAAAAGCAAAATAGTACCCCACCTTGTATGTACAATCCAAGCTAGAAGAAAAAAAAATCAAAACAAAAAATGATAAACCACATAAAAACGTACCTACTGCGTGAGGCGAGGCGTACGTGCTACGTATGCACAAATGTACATGTTCAATAACGATGGTTTTCGTCAGATTAGGTCAAAAACTTTATGCTAAATCATGCCAATTCAACGGTCTAAGATTTAAAACACTATATCATGCATGTCTTTATATATCAATAAAGGGCTGATTTTACTCACATGTCGTCAATGACGCACAGAAAGGGTAATTTGTGAGCGAAGCAACACACAAGGAATGGGAGTTGCTGAAAAAATTGTTAAGTCCAAACCAACTACATAGGCCAAGTTCGCGCAAGGACTATAGTTGAACAATGGTTAACTAACGTTTGCCCGAACTCTGTCTGGTCAACGGTGGTTGACTACGCTAGTCGACTATTTGGACCAGCCTACTGGGGTGGGTTGCTTCGCTGGTAACCAATAGCCGCGCGCATTCATAACGCTAGCAGAGAGCCAGGATCCAGGTTTTGCGATGAAATTTTGACCAGCGTTTGACTAGAGACGTTCGCACGTTGCTATCAGTGCGCAGGCGTAAGGTACGTCACAAATCAACCACTAGTCGACTAATGGCCCTTGCCCGAACTTGGCCCCTGATGGCGGCTACGCGGTTACGAAGTGGGAGTGCAATGGAGCATGAAGCATAGTACATACAAGTAGCGCTGAGAATATTTATTGAGGTCAACCAACCGTGACCTCGTAGCCGGCTACGAGGTGGATAGATCGAGTGGCGGGGTCACAGTATTCTGCAATTGTGCCGTAAAATTTTGGTAAATTTGGGTGTAATCAAACGGAGGTTTTCAACTGTTTGCATTAACGGAAATGCTGAAATGGGTGTAAACACTCTGTCGAATGAGGGCGCTCGTTTTCGGAGCGCATCAAGCGCTGAGCGAGGGACTTTCTGACAGCCACCCCCGCATTTGGATAAAATGTGTAAAACAGCTGTCGTCCTCGTCTTGGCACGAGTCGAGCGACGGGTCTGGTGTATACTGTGTCACGGACTCGCACTTGGGCAGCTCGCACCGTCCCATCTTAGCTAGGGTGTACCTCGCATACTCTTCCGACTGGCCACTGAGCTCGAACCAGCTGGGGGACTACCACCATGACGACATCACCGCAAGTCAAGTCCCTTGCATCTTTCTGCCACTTTTGACGGAGTTGCAAGCCAGGCAGGTAGAACTTGATGAAGTGTGCCCAGAACTGGTCGGCGAGCACCAAACTATGACGCCATCGTCGTCGTCCTAACAACTCGTTGGAGGTGTAGACCAATTGGGGCAGTGATGGGTCGAGCCGCCCCATCAGCAACAGGTTAGGAGTCACCGGGTCCACATCAGCTACATCGGCAGAGACGAAGCCCAGAGGTTTAGAGTTGAGGATCCCCTCTACTTCCACGAGGAGGGTGTGAAGTGCTGCTTCTGTCACTGACTGATCCAGTGGCGTAGCCAGGAATTTTTCAGTGCTGGGGGCGGCGCTGGGGGGGGGGGGGGGGCTGGAACATTTCATGGGGGGCGTCATGTAGATCAATTATACTTTTTTTTTTAGAAACTCAAATTCTCAGTGGGGGGCGACTTGGGGGGGGGGGGTAACAAGGTTTTACGGGGGGGGGGGGGGCAACAAGGTTTTATGCTGCCGGACTACAACGCCACTACGCTGTTAAGATTACCATCAGATCCAAGGTTGAAGGTTACGGAAAACAACGCCAGTTATACAAACTGTGATTAATTGTAATTATGATTTGAACATTTGCATGGTGTAGAATGTAATCAAGTAAGGTTTGTGGCACACCTCGTAGATAGGCCTACATGAATAGAATTTGAAACTTTGCATGGTGGAGATACAATCTAGTAAGGTTTGCTGTAACACCATGTACATGTGTAGGTTTTGAAACTTTGCATTGTGAAGATACAATAATAAACAGATTTGCAGTAACACCTTGCACATGAGGGTTTGAAACTTTGCAGTGGAGATACGATCTAAGGAAGTTGCCGTTATATAGCACCATGTTTATGAGTTGGATTTGAAACTTTGCATGGTGGAGATACAATCTAGTAAGGTACATGGATAGGATTTTATACTTAATGTGGTGGAAATTAATCAAATAATGCTTGCCGTAAAACCGTGCTTATGATTATGAGTTGTGGCGGTTTAATGAAAGAATCGATCAAGTTTTCAATTTAGGCTTTGGGACAACACCACTTACTCTTCCAACATGAATTAATTCCATGAGACAAAAAGCTCCCTGCTCGGTAGTTAACTGAACATCAACCTTGATCAATGTGTGACGAATGAGCAAGTTAATTAAGCAACTTACATAATACACTCTGGAAAAAAAACAGTTTAGCAACTAACTTTTCTTGTTTACCAGTTCTTGTTTACCAGCTAAACGCATGACGTGGCCAATGACTTAACATCAATTTTCAATGGCTAAACACTGTCCGTCCTCATGCTAAAAATGGTTAGCATTTTAACATGTTTACCAACTGATTGACAGCAAGAAAGTGTTTAGACTTGTGTTTAGTCACTAATTACATTTTATTTAGGCCAGGCAATTATCCACACAATTAGGCTACCTTTGTCCCTATATGACAAAACTGGCACACTTGGTCCCATAGGCAAGTTGACCTCCCTTGGAAAATAACTCATAACTCTAGCAAAACTTTTCAGATTTGGACGTTTAATGTCTCATTTTCAAGTGGAAAGGCGTATCTTTCAAAGCATCTCACTTATGTTGGTGATTCATTCTACTTCTGTCATCATGTTCTGTTTGCATTATTTAGACAAACTGTGTAATATAAGTAGCTCTTTGTCATTTGGAGGAAAACTATTTTACAAAAAAATGTTCAAGATAGTGTTTTGGTATCAATGTGTGGCCTTCTCTATCGTGCCATGATGGTAAAGAGGGATGGGACGAATGACACGGTGAATATAGTACCAAAATACCCGGCTGTGAGTATCACGTGACCGAGAGATTATGTATATCATAAATCATGGGAACTGAATGTATGAATAAGGGACTACAAAGTTGGGGTGAAATAACCAACGAGGGACAGTGGCCTTGAGCTTTTTTTTTTTTTTTTTTAGATATTGCCCTAACCCTAACCCTAACCTGTATTCATAATGGGACCGTTTTAGCCGATTTTCGGCTAACTTTGACAGTTTTTTTTTTTAAACGAGTTTGACAGAAAATTTGACAGAATGGATTTTTTTGGCAGATTTCTGGCAGAATTCTGCAAAATGGTTATTTGACAGAAAAACATAGCAAATTTAAAAAAAAGAGGTAGATTTGTTCAAAAAAGCTTCAATCTTTTCAAACAAACCCTTGTAAAATAGGACTGGTTGCCTTGTCTATGTGCTGAGGTTCACTGGGAATCGGATTTCGTCGTGACCGTCCGGCCAACCTCGTTTTTTTCCATAAGACCTTTATATGACTATATTGTTTGTAATGTAATTTGAACCTTAATTAAGGCAATATTACAACGTCTGCACGAGATTTTAAGTTGCCAGACATGGATGTCGGATTATTTTTCTCCAAGAAGAAGAATTAAAACTAGCATTTAAACTAAATGGGGGGGGGGGGGGTTGTCGGCACTATCGCAAGAATAATGCCAACTATTGTCGATAGTATATTCTAGCTCATCCGTCTTCAACAGTGCCCCCACATGTCAGAAGCTGCCCAGCTCACCCCACCCAACCTTAACCCATTGTTTTAAGATCCAAGTTATAATGTTTCCCTGAATAATCACTTCTTCACGGTTATGAAACTAAAAACTCTAAATCATTACAAAAGCACGATTGCTTGAAGAATAAGAAACTTCCCAGAGGTTGCACTGCTGCTCTATGGGCAGACTAGGGGCTGAAAAAACCAGTCCATAACACCCGCCGTTCGGTAGAGGATTTTAACCGGCGTCACTAATAGGAATCAGAAATGCCTGAAACGAATTTAGTTCGTCTTGGCCAGTTTTAATAAAACCCCAGGTTAAATATTCGATACAGATCTCGTATACATCTCATATTAATTATCATGAACAAGACATTTTAAATTGTTAAATTATATTGCCCACTACCATTAATTGTTTTCAAATTGATCAGTTAACCTCTGACACTACTCATAACCTTCCAAGTTCATTGGTTTCAAGGCATCGTAGCGTATTCTCTTTCCTAGAAATTACTTTTAAAAATAAATTAATAACTCTCCAAATCCTCCAAATCAAATGAAAATTTCTAACGGTTCAATGTACCAAAACAAACCTTGAAAATAGTATTATTATTACAACTATCACAAAGACCGTATAGACGTGACTGTTGAAAGTGGATTAGCATGAAACTCATATCCTACGATGCATAGTTTGCATCATATCTGACTTTTTTATACTAAGACAATTGATGTATGGACTAAAAATTGCAGGGAGCGCTTTTTCGGTTTCCAACTGAGTATGTAAAAAGCAGTAACGTTATCTTGATTAAACGCCCTTTTTGTATTAATAATAATTTCAAATGTACACAATGACGATTACAAATCATAAATAATGCCTACTTAAATTCTTACACCCAAGTGTACCCTAGTAAAGGAGACAATTTGTCGTCAGATATTATACCTTATGGAGACAGCCGACGTTACGGAGACATTTCAATGCCTGTCTAGCTCCTATTTATTAAGCGACAATATTTTGTGGTCGCAAATATGCTACATTGATTGCTCGTGGTCCAAAACACAAATGTACCAAAATTCGTTAAGAAAAAAAAATCAAAAATGGCGTTAGGGGTCACTATAGTTGAAACAAAAATTGTACAAGTCTATGGGAATGTCTCCCAAGTGACCCATTATCGTAATGAATTTATATCATTATCTTCACGAAGTTTGCTTTTTGACAGTAAATACAACATGCAAACATAATAAAAGCAGTCTCTATCGCTAACGTATCTGAGTAATTAAATCAATATTTCTCTTTCTTTTGCAAGCAATTAAACACAAGAGCAACTACCAGTCATCAATCTTCGGTGTTGTTTTTTACGCTTTGGCCGGCGGACCACCAGCGAGAATGCGCAGCAGGATGTAGCAATAGTCTCCACTCGTGTCGTCCTTGATGAAGTTCTCCAAGGTCGTGCCGTACTTGGCTTGGAATTCCTGCTTGATGTTGGCAAGATCGATCTGGGTATGAGAAAGCAAGACTAGTGTCGTGAACAAAGTATCGGACAATCAGATTAAGAACCAAATATGAACCAGCAGAAAAACAAACATTACAACAAAAGTCGAAGCAGAAGTAGTACCAGAAACAACAAACGGGTAAGACAAATCATAGGCAAGAGGAAAAAACTCAGTAATAAAAGAAGCTTCAACGGTAGGTGCCGGTATAAAAGAAACTTTGTTTGCAATCTACGAGAATTAAAGCATGACAAAATGACCAAGATGTCATTGTGCCCACCTCAGATCGCGAAATCAGAGTACGGATGATCAAGTTATCATCTGTCCCCAATCCTTTCATGGCCGCGTAAAGTCGATCAACATAGAACTGGATCAGCTCGCCCTTCGCCGTCTTAACTGCAAAACAGAGACAGTGGTGAAACAATGGTAATGTCAACAAGATCAACATTTCATTATCACTAATGAATTGTTTTGTTATTATAAAAACAGGTGAAGGAGTGACCAAGTATTGTCAGGGGGTGATAATTTTTCTGTAAAAAACAGAAAGAGTAAAAGCCTTCACTGGCAATGTAATATCGAACAATTTCCGTAAATCAGATACGAAGATTTTATGGTGTTTATAAACTTCCATGACATTTGGAACCGTTTATTTGCGCATGTCTGGGCTTGCGACATGAAAAGAAAAATTTAAGTTGCTGGGTTTGAAGAGTTAGATTGGGCCTGTTATCGTTTTGGGATGCGCATGCTCGGCTTTGGTGCTGACAAAATGCTAAAATCAAGCAATCAAAAAATATATAATGACAATAAGATTAAAAATTGATGGGGCGCCACCGATACTTTAATTTCGGTTTTACCTAGGGCCATGTAGCCATCCACCTCATCACCTTTCTCCGATGCTAAGTATTTCTCGATACCTCCCTTCTTGGACTTCTGTAAAGGGCAATCATTGAAAAGCATTATAGGAAATATATCCACCAACACTTTTTTATCTAAATATTATCATCAAATCCGTTTCGACGGAATGGGTTGATTACCAAAATCCTCGATTATTTTGACTGTGGCTATTATGTCTGCGATCAAAAGACTAAACCTCCCGTGTTTGTTTTTATCTATTTTTTTCGGATGCACATTTCTACAAACGTCTGCTTTTGTAAATTATTCCGCCGGGGCGTGTCTCAAGGCAGAAACTACGTTTTTGCTCGAGTCGGCCATATTGAATTGAAAGCGAGGTAAACTCTTCATTTTATGGAGCTTGCAAGTAGAAATGATAGTAATGAAACAAAATTGATTACGAATCAATACCGGTCTGCTCCAATGAATACTTTTAAAATGTTGATGAAACATACCCAGATGTATTGAGCCTTATTTATAAAAAAAAAATTGAAAGTGAGGCTAGGAACGAACTCCAATCATAAAATAGTCTGGCACCATCCCATTCAACAGTTTACAGTTTATGAAATAGATTCAGGGAACACGATCGAAAATGACTTCCCTTGTGAACCTATAGAAAAGGATTAAAGTACCTGGTCGTAGTACTTGAACGTTGCCAAGTTGAGCTGGATCAGAGAACGAGTTGCCAAGATTTCAATGAATTTAGCATCATCACGTGGACCGCTCGTACGTCCCTCTCCGGCCTAGAAAACGTAATTAAAGATAGTCTGCAAAACTGAGGACAACAGACAGAAACTCATTGACCAACAAACTGACAGACGTCAGACGAACCAACGTACCGACCATCATTCGTTTTACGATTAGAGAAGCGAATTGTTTCACCTTAATTAGTGCGTCTGCATCCGCCTTTGCCTGCGTCTCAATATCGGCACTGGGAACTTCTTCACGAGTTGCCTGAAAGTTATAATACACACAAACATAATGAGAATTGCGAATATTTCGGCAACCCCATGTGAGGATCATGGACTCACATTGATTCGAACTGGGTGTTGTTTAAGAATTTCCTTGCCTCATAATCTGTGTTCATGAAAACATTTCTATTTTTATGACAACAGGCAGTAATTGCAACTAGGCCCGGGAACTTTTAGGAATGTAATATCAGAAAAGTCTGAATCTATAATCTCTAAAAGGATCAGCTTTTGAGGAAATTTAAGCCAACTTACAGCAGCTGTAGTCAGGAGCAGTTTCAAGAAGGGTTCGCTGGTTTCCTCCTTGAGCATGGCCTCCACACCACTACCGAACACTGTTTTAGACGGATACCAACGAAGTAGCATTAAAGACTAAAGATGAACTCTCAATAGGCCAGTTAAGGGCTCATAACGAACAAATAACAACTGTTGTGCCCGAAAATTTAATTTTATTCAGTTTTGGGCCCATGCACTTCGGGGTCTGTGAAAAATGAAGATTCATGCTTTAAAGTATACCGTCAGCTTGTATTTCTGATTTTTTAAGCTCAAGTAGGAGCTTCTACATGTCACTTGGTGGTCGGACGGTTGGTCTTGGCATCCAGAAAATGGACCCTCAAAACGACCAAAATAAGCCCCTATGCTTTCCACAAATTTACTACCAAATTTTAATTTAAGAAAAGCAAATAAAATAAATGAAATACTTACAAAAAAATATTGTAACGATTCGGAAAGATGTTTATGAAGGTTGTAAATGGAGGCAAAATGTGCAGTAATGTTTTAGTCACGTGGTATTTATCACAAATCGTAGTCTAGGAAGACATCCAAAGTATGGTGTGCCATATGTGCCATCGGCGGCATTTTCGGGTGTCACATTTTTAAGCTCTGGCAGGGATCATTTTGATAGATTTCATGCAAGACGGCCAGAGCTTATTGTGCACTCGCACTTGTTTCAATAACATTAGACGCGATAATCGCAAGTAAATCTGCCATTAAAACATTTCAGATAGGTTAGAGTAGTTGCTTATTCATCTTTCAATCTTTTCCCATCATTACAAATTCAACATTATCCAAAACTTACTCTCTTGGAATGTCTCTTTGATTGCAGTGGTTTCCTGTTAGAGAAAGGAGTGGAAATATTGTTCAAATCTGTGATTATATTGAACATGATTATAAACATAAAATATCTATATTGTTTCTTCCAAGCAGTTTCCCAAGCGAACAACACTTTTGCAATCAACTGTTTTTGTTTGTTATTTCAACAGCTTGTTGACTCGAGTTTACGTGTTTTCGCGCCGATGCTGGAGCCTCGAAAAAAAGTTGCAGGCATTTTGGGACGCGCTGTAGTGCATTTCATGATGTGTCCACAACGGATGCCGGTATAAATGCCACAAATTTCTTAAAACTAGACCTTTAAACCGCCCAGATTGACTTCAGAAAAACAGAACCAAGTCCTTTGTCAGAAAAACAAAAGAATTGATCCACTGATACTTTCTGTGCATGGTTATTTCCCCAAATGTATAAATAAACAAGATATAGACTGCATTACCACATTGCGGGCTCTGGTGCACAGCACATCAACCAAGGCCTTCTCGTCCGTCCCCATTCCCTAAATCAAAAAATCAAAATCATTTTCAGAAAATGTGACAGATCACAGGCAACAATGCCAAAAACTGCTTCAACTGTATATACCAAAATGTCAAATCACAAATCCATCACAAGTCAATCACAAGTGCCAACATCGCTCATTTGGATGTGTTTTGAATTAAGACTGAAAGACTTGACTGTGGTTATGTTGTGATGACTTATGATTGACTAGTGTGATGACTTGTGATTGACTAGTGATTGACTAGAGCGATTGACTAACTTGTGATTGACTGTGATGTACCTGTGATTGACTTGTGATTGACTAGTGATTGACTAGTGATTGACTGTGAATTACTTGTGATTGAAAAGGGATTGACTTGTGATTGACTAGTGATTGACTTGTGATTGACTGTGATTGACTGTGATTGACTGTGATTGACTTGTGATTGACTATTTACTTGTGATTGACTTGTGATTGACTATTTACTTGTGATTGACTTGTACATCTTGTGTGCCTGGTTTACCTTCATTGCCTGATACAAGCACCGGGCAGCAAACTGCAGCGAATCATCCACCAAGCCGACCACCACGTCCTTAAACTTAGACGAAGATAAGACTTTATTGATGTCATCCATCAGTTCCTACAAGTAATGGAAAGGAAAAGAAGCAACTGTGTGTTAAATCATGATTTCGATTGTATCGCAAAAGGTAGCAGACAGAAAAGTTTGTCATTACAAAAGTGATGATATCTGAAATCTTCTTGATAATGCGTGATTGTCTTTAGGCATTGTCTATTGCAACTTTATTTTATGTTCAGGGTAAAAAAAAATGTAAAGTGGTGGTCATCACTATATAGACTTCAATGTTGCTAAGATTTCACACCACAAATAAACAAACAAAGTAAATTTTCAGTTGGTGAACCAGAGGACCTTGAAAGTTATCTTTTAAGAGCCCACATTGGGCGCAGGGAAACCCCCCCCCCCCAGAAAAACTGAACTAATTAAGTGCACTGAATCAAGTGTCTTCTTAATCTACCAATTAGCCGGGTTCTCAATTTATCAAAGCACTACCATGGATTAACAATGCCCTGGATTCCCAGGTACGGCTAAAATTGTCAACCACCTAATTCATCAAACACTGCCCTGGATTTCCAGGGATGGCAAAGAACCTCAACCGTGGAAGTACTGGGACGGGTTCAACGACCAAGAGTCTGAGTCATTAAAAATACTGCCCTGGATGCCAAGGGACCTGCGGGTAATTAATACAGACCTTCCCTGCCGCCGCCTTGTAACCTTGCTTGATCTCCTGGCGTTGAGCACTGCTGCGACTGGTCAGAAGATCTGCCAATGCCTCCTCGCATGGTCGACTACCTGCAGATTTAGTTCAATGGGCCAGCAATCAAACAATAATTAACGGACAATCTAACCTTGGCAATATTCTTTTGCTAATGAAAATATTGTGTGATTTTTGCAGCACCGTTAGAAAGTATCTTGTTTAATGTACCAAAGTGACGTCATCTAATAACACCTACACTGAAAAAACTGCAGTGTTCAATTTACACCATTGGTATCTATATAGGACCATCTGGTGTTAAATTTTACTGGTGTTGTCCTATATAGATACCGAATGGTGTTAAATTAACACTACTGTTTTTGCAGTGTAGTTTGCCCTCTCTAATGTCCCGACCAGCAGTGTATACAGAACACATTAAGACTACAGGTCGGGAACAAGGCTACGTGTTTTTTCGTTATTTTTTTGGGCCGATGACGTCACAGACAGAACGGGTGAAACAAAAAAAAATCTGTGTATTAATCATTTTTGTCAGAAGCGTTTGTTGATTTTTTTTTAAAGTTTTCATATCTGTAAACCTAAAACGTTTCAAGAAAAAATGTACTTTAACATTCATTTGTACTTACATAGCAGTTTTTGCAGTTTCGCAACATCTGCTTGCATGTCGAACGGCTCTGCGGGCTTAATAGTCCCCTGTGGGTTGAGAATATTGTGGTCAAAATTGACTCAATCAAAGCGCCAACGATTTCAACTCCTCTCTTCATTAAATATTTTTCAAATACCCACGGGCGTCTCACTTAGACAGAGCATTAAAAAGTGTAACCTAATTTGAACCATATGTTTTATCCAAAAATGGCAGTGAAAAACAAAACTAAAATTGACAGAAACTTTCATACACGGTTGTGAAAATCGGCTTAAATGCCCATAATCTTTCAATATTTTGAGCCTACTAATATACTCCAGGCATTATTTTCTAAATACCGCATTAAGAAATGCTACTAATGCCTATTTCAACGGAGTCCTATAAAGGCCTGCACTGAATCACTGAATGTCATCCGTTAACAATTTGTACAGATTCAAATACACAGAAAACGTATTTAAAATAAATTAAATCATTGTCAAAACTCTACATTGCCTATATCGCTTTGGCATTACATGTACTTGTATTACGAAACATATTGACAATCGTTTTGCCATATTTCATCATGACAATAACAAGACTGCTGTGTACTGTGGCAAACTATCTCGATATAATGCAACCGATACGGAGAAAATAAAAATGAAGATAATTATTTCGACATGAAAATATAAAAGCATATAAATATAAACTATTTCACATTTTCAAAAATATTCAAAGCATCGGACTCACCTCGATTTTCTTCAGCTGTCCGGGAGGCACCTTACCGCCTTTTGTTGGAGTTGCCATTTTTATCGAATTATCGGAGCAAAGTGATTTGCAAAAGTTGGAATTTCGACCGAGATTGGAGTTGAAGCAGAGCCGATGAGCTACAGCGCAGACAGTGATTGCTGGACAGATCTCCCGCTGACTTTGTACCGAGGCGTGGCAAACCAATCCCAGTGTATTCAAAAATATGCAAATCCTCTACCGTCAGCTGGCCAATCAGGATCCATTATACGACGCGCGAGCGCCAAGCAATTTCCCAGGGGCCGTAGAACTACGTCATTTCGGAGATCCAATATGTAGGTAATATTGGCCGTTTTGGATACAAGTTAGGGTTGTGACGGGTACCCAGATAACCGGGTATTCGATGCACAATTGCGGTCACCTACGTTTTTTTTAAGAACCTTCTAGTAGGAACGCTCCTAAATACTAAGAAATGCTTTTCAAACAGAAACACAACTTTTATTATTTTTTTTCGGTAAAACAAAGTTACAAGGAGCAAAAGCAGTTTTGGATTAAAACCATTCCAAACACCGTTACTGAGAGCAATACCTTTGAGTCCATTTGTCGACATTTCCAAGCATCTAAAATAAGATTTTGAAGTTGTATCAAAAGGTGAGAGTTTTGTCAGATATCTCATTCGAGTAGATTAACAGTTGTCAGCAATTAATTCACCTCGATAATTAACTTTAAAATTCAGGTATCTCCAAGGTAAACAAAGTGTTCTTTTTATTAGTGATACATTAATTCCTGGTCCACATTTTTTAAAGTTTAAATATCTTTTTATTTCAAAGTATAAACCATTTCTGAGGGATTTCTCTTTGTTTAATCGCGGTTCAGTTTACACCGATTCAATGCAAGGTATTTTCAAAGCGTCAGTCGCTTACTCTTGCAGTTGACATTTCACAAAATTAATTATGCGGAACTGTCTGAACGACATTCTACTGGTAGTCTGGTAGCATAGTTGGTGTTTTCAGTTAATGGTAACCAGCCAACCATAACCACGTGCTCTGGATGAAACCAGACTCACGTGAGTCATAAAAACTGAGCATTTTCAGACAGCTTAATCAACCTGTATGACTCTAAATCAGAGAACAAACAGACAACTTGTTTTTCTGGTTCTAATTAATTTTATACAAATGTTAAACCATGTGTATTTTACATTAAATGATGATGCAACGTATTTTGGTTTGAATTGATTTGGTCTGAAATGGTTTATTAAAATAAAACGTCATCGCGGCCAAATGTCGAATTGAGACTTTTTTTTTTACAGTTATAGTTAAAAAATACAAATGTATAAAGTTAATCCCAAAAAAAAGAAGAAGAAAATATCAGATATAAATAAAATTACAATGAAAAGAGTGTGAATATAATTATGAAGATAGGGGGAAAATATTTTTAAAAAAAAATTTAAAAGGGAAGTGTAACCATATTATGAGCTTTGGGGAAGTCTGATTGGGATGGCCATATAGGGGCTACGTTTAACATAGGGGAGGACGTATAATCTGCTTTATTTGCTGCGCATAACCTTTTTGACAAGGTGTCATCAGTTGTACATTGTTAGGCATTTTTATGCAACTTGAAAAAAATCACGTCTTTCCCAAGGGTGCAATTTCACTGCATCGCCTATTGAAAATAGGGAAGACAACGAAGAGTTTTAAAACAAAATTCAAATCTTTTCGATTAAGTAACTGTCACTCTGAAGATCTTGTTCCTATATAGTTCCTAGTTTCTCGGAGTAAATTATAACTCTGAGGAAAAAGAGAGATAATATTCCTTGGTAAAAGAAGGCACTAGATTTAAGTTTGATGGAAGCAATGTACATCTTTTTTGTTTTTCTGATGAAACTGTTGGGTAATTTATATTTTCCTAAAAACTTGGTGTTTTAACGAAAATGAGCAACATGGAGTCATGGAGTTAGTTCCATATTAAGGTTCGAATTTATTATTGTATGAAAAAAATCCTTTTTGACTTTATTTGATAATAATGGTCCATGTGAAATTTTTTCCACGTCATGATGTTTCAGGGCTATTGGATTTTTAAAAGTCTCTCATTGGTAGACACGATTATCATCCTCACACTGTCTAAAGGCTTGTAAATTGTCCTTTATATTTGTTATTTTTGGTGTTGAGCAGTGCAGTGATGTTACGATGCACTATGCAGTACCTAGTTCGGTTTGGATAAGTATAAACAAAGCTGTACCATTGATATTAATTTTTACAGCCAGCAGCTTTTAGATATTCAAAATGCAGGTAGTTTTCTAACGGGCTAAATATTTTAAGAGTTTTTTTCCTGCAATATGGACCCCAGAAAAACAACAGACAACCAAATATATAACCAGTGCATAATCGGTGCATATACATGTACTGTGCATTGTGAAATGGATATTTTCATTAAAAATTCTAGCAGCTGGACGCTTCAGGGAACCGTATCTTTTTTTGTAGACAATGAGCAATGCAATTATAATACTCTATGACAAATTAATGCCATACACCTGAACAGGACTGCCAAGATAATTAACATTTGATCATCGGAGTTTTCTTTTCCCATGGGATGAACAAGCATGACATTTGAAACGAAAGGGGACGCATGTTAATCTAGGAAATCCCCCCCCCCCAAAAAAAAAACATGTACGTGTGGCTTTCCTCCAGTTTCGTTGAGGGAAGGGGATTAATATATTTATCAAAATAATGAAATAACACAAGGTCTTAATTCCCTGAAGACTTTGAATATTTGCTGTAAATGGATCTGATAAATATAATATTCGCTACGTTTTACTAACTCGTAAACGAACGTTGCACGAAATATTTAACAAAAGGGAACCTTCATAAGAATCGAGAAATGAATATCATGCTAAGATTTCCAACGAGTGCAATTTAACGACATTTCAGTATTTTGATGACATTGTTCATGTACGACAGCCTTCCGCGCCTTTGTTGTGCTTGCAGAATTGTCTAATACAGTTTGCAAAAGTAAATTCATAAAACAAAAAATAAAAATGCAAAGGTCAGAATAGCTGGCTCTTTATTGTAATAAGCATGTAATCCATATTTAGATTTTTTTTTTCATCGGGCCCACTCTAAAGACCTTGCAAAAAATATTGTTAATGAGTTATTCACCTGACCATAAAATTTCGAGATTTGTGAAAATGCTTGATCGATAGTTCTACTAATTGCATGGCAACAGCTTGGTGGTTGTGTTCTTTACAAGCCGAATTCTAATGGGTTTTTTATGCACTTGCCATGTAACGTACATTTCATTATCCTTTTTATCAGATACACTACATACATATCAATTCTAACTCCCTTCTTATAAACAATTCGCCATCAACGTATTCATAATAAAATTGTGGCCAGGTACCTCCGAAATAATACCAGATTATTTTTGGTCTTAAAATTTGTGGCAAATTGACACTCCCAAATGTTTACCTCGTTTTACATAGAAAAGCAATAATCTCAGACATTTTTTGCGATAAATAAAGTGCCTGCATTAAACGTTCAGAAACAAAGCTATTTTTGCTAAAAAGAAAAAATGGCCATGATTCAATAGTTTTGAATGAAATGTAAGCAGGATTTGTCTTGTTATATGGGTACCCACCTATTTGTGATATAATAATGATTGTATTCAAATCAAAGGGGGCGACGTCCTTTGCATAAAGTCCGAGTTCCCAGGGTATTCAAGGTAGATCATAAAAACAATGCTGAAGCAGTGATATATTCATGCAGGATTTGGAAGGGGGGGGGGTACCCGGGTAGAAAAGTTAATGGTTGCCCCAAAAGAAGTGATATGTAACAGTGTTTATCGTTTTGAATTTTACACAATTTTTCTTCCGTCTAATTTGTTGTTTGGAGGATGTTCTTTTGGTAAAGGAAAAATGTCCAAGAACCATTTGTGTTACCGTTAGGGCGACTATTTTGCGCTACTTTTGGAGGACCGGCACCTTGGAAAATCGGGGGCGTCCAACCCCAGGTGGCACTTTTCAAACATGGCGAATGATGCCTACATAAATAATAGGCCAACAACGACATTTCGTGTGGGACGGAATTTTTGATAAACAACCCCACGTGATGCTGTAAGCTTGTTGTCTATTGGACTAGGACCGCGTGACGTGTTTCGTTTACCCCCCCCCCCATAATTAATACATTGGTCATGACAGTTTGCATATGCCAGAGTGAAATGTCGAATATACTTATCATCTGTGTCGTAGGCCAATTATTACACTGTGGGCACGACAAAGGCCTACTAAGGATAATGCGATGAATAGATGGCGAACGAGCAAAAGTGACAATTACATGACGATGGGAAGAAATGAAGGTCATCTTAATTTGGTTATGCACGTCGTGCAGCCGATCCCAAGCTCTGGCAAGCGCGATAAAGCCTCTGAGAAAATAGAGGGCGCTATCAACAAAAATTAAATTCATATCTTGTTAATTGCGCCCTCTACCGCCAGGACGGCTTGACCGCGGCGCCCTTCCAGGGATTGGGACTGGCTGCTTGGGGGGAACAAATTCCAGTCTTGGATCGAGACTACGTGACATAATGTAAAGACAGCTTAAGCGTCACAGCGCCCTCGGTTAGTCTGAAATAAAAACTCATTGACTCCAGTTGGGGGCGCTGTGGCGCTGAAAAAAAATCACAATAGATATTTTTGTGTCCCTTGCAATTAAGGGTTTGTAAAAACAATGTCAAAGCTCTGAACAGGAATTTGAGATTGTACTTCTGAGAAACGGAACCCCAAAAGTCCTCTCTTTTTTACAATGGAGTGGAGTGACATATTTTTTCAAAATAGCAATGGGCATTTTGGGGCGAACATCTTTGGAGGCCTACTGTCGCGTTAAAGACTACCTTTTCAAATGGTTTTGTTGTTACATTTACGCCAAATTCGAATTCAAATTCATAATAGTCTGGGGGCCACGGTACTCTTTATGAGTCAATTGAGTAGATGCAAGCCGCCCTACGGGAGCTAAGCCATGAGGGCAAATTTCACGAGTACATGCACAGTCAACATACCATGGGTTAGGGTCACTGGGTCAGTACTAGCACTCGAACTTGGCCATCGATGAATTCTATTCGCAATGTTTTCCATGCAATTTTGTCTGTAGTTCCTTTTATCTGATGTGGCTTAAATTCGGTATTACGGATTGTGCACATAATTTTAAGTAGTTCAGTGTGAGTTCATCTGGAACGACGATTATAATAGGCTTCATGCAGAGTGCACAGTTACAAATGCAATACTAGTTCGAACAGTAGCCAGACGGAACTGTAGAAATGCAATATACTTTCAGCTACACCCTCGCAGGTTTAATACTAAGCGTACAATGCCGAGCTGCTGCATGCTGTAGGGAAAAAGTCGTCTGAAGATTTTTTTTTGAGACGGTAACGCGCCAAAGGTAGGTCCGCTCTGATAACTTAATGTGCTGAAAACTCGGTTTCCGACCGTTATGACAGTCAAGAAACATTTCAGACATGGCCTTATTAGTGCACGCGCTGTCTGAGGTGACAAGCTCAATCCTGCAGTTGTAGGGCCAAGCTATAGGATCGTTGTTCATTCTTTTCAGTGTGGACACGAAGAAGCCGTCACCAGAATATGAAGATCAATTATTGTGGATGCTGAAATTAAACCGTGTAGGCCTAATCCAGTATTGCTACAAAAGCACCACTGGCCCAAACAGGAATGACCCTACCAGAAATGCATGTGACAAAACGGTTATACCTCATTATGATGTTAGCTATACGCCATAGGACTGTAGCTACGTCACTACCACTTTAATTATAATATTTAAAAAAGTTCATGTGGTTTTTATCAATGACGTATCCAGGTTTTAACAAGTTGTAACTGCCACGCCGCTTACATGGAAGCTACTACATTGTACTTCGATTTACATATGAGACAGAAAAACTGAAGTATATAGATTTTTGTGACAGTGGAAGTCGATAGTTACCCCTTTTCAAAATGGAAGGGTCCAGCAGGAAATTAAATCAAATCAAACTTCTCTTTCAAATTATGTGACTTGACTGGACTTGTAACTAAACAATGTCGTCATCGATCGTTAATATATGTGAACAAACACGCCACAGACATAGGGAAAGTTAGCAATGACTGAACAGACCCGCACAACTGACTGATATTCCGCTCGTTCTAATTTTGTCAGGGACATTTAGGTCCGTCGTTGAGCTTTCATTGTTCCAAGTTGAACGTGGTCAAGTGGCCCGACAGGCCTTCGTCGTTGCCTGTAATTCTTAACCCCTGGCTAACCAACGACTACACAAGACATCATGAATTATCAGGTAAGTTCATTTAGATTTCTTCGGTTTCTTACACATGCAGAAAAATAATGGCAAATAAAACCTTGTGAAAGAATGGTTTTGTGAAGGAATGGGGTGTTGTCTGGGAACTAGTGGAATTTACAGATAAGCAGGGTGTCGTAGAGTCAACTCCTTGCAAGCTTGTGAAATGTTCTTCTCAAAAGCTCTCGGAAAGAGGTGCTTACAAAATTGCTTAATTACATAAAGCAAGGTTTACTTTCCTCAACAAAAATAGTTACTGTGCTGTTTTTGTGTAGCACAAATGACCCAATACCGTAGGCCTACTAGCAAAATATTATACAACTAGCACTACTCCCAACAGCTAAATGATAGGCCTATGAATTCGCTTTCGCAAGATAGTTCAGTGTTGAGCTATTGTTGTTTTTTTATGTAGGCGTATGAGAAAGTCTCATCGGCAGAAATGTCCTTGTTAAAGGGTTTAAGTAACCAAGCGTCGGAATAAATTCACTATAGGTACGGTGGACACCTATGGGCTAAACAGTCCTTTCATTTAAATACTTGTGTTTCCTTGAACTTAGGCCCCCTATCTGATACTCCGAAATGCTAATTGCTATATTTTTCTTACTACTTCATGTTTTGACGATGGTCATTTGATCAGGGAACTATAACTGAAGGGGAACAGTTCGACAGAGAGCAAGATGCGATGATACTGCACAAGGCCATGTCTGGAATAGGTAAGGGAGCTTATATCTTGACCCATGGGCAAAAGGCAGTGCAAGCTGACGCATCTGGGCCTACGTGGGTAAACTATTAGGTTTATGTAGCGGACTAGCGGGTCATTCAAATCATCACAAACAAAGATTGAAACATGCATGTACAATGTAACCACGACTTAGTGGAAGTATAAATCCAAATGCTCTAGTGCATTTTTTGTAATATGTTTTGATGGCCGTATCACTTGCAACTTCAATAAGGTAAGATTGCCTGTCTTTATAAAATTATCAATGATACACAGCCTCGTTCTTCTTAATCTATTTTCATGAACACAAGCGCATTTAATCAAAATTGGCTTACAAATTAATCTCTGAAATTACCGCAAGTACATCAAAACAATTCATTGTGTTATGCATGACTTGCTTGTATACAGCTACAGTGGAATTTCATGTGTTGTTTTTTTAGTGGTCGGGCACAACCCAACCACTGTTTGGAGTTGTTACGATTAATCTTTCTTTCTCTTTTTCTTTTTTTTCCGGACAATACTTCTCCGCGGGTTTTCTCCTAAACGGTTTATGATATGAACTTGTAACTTTAAATATATATCGAACCTCATCCCAAGTGCAGTGGTGCATATTACTCTGACGTCACGATGGTGTCATCGGGTGTCGAATTACAAGCGATTTTCGTTGAAAAAATGACGATTTTCTTTCACCTATAACTCATGAACACAAAATGATCAATCACGTTCCAACCTTGTAATCAGATAGACCATTAATTGATGAACATTTCTTTTTGTGTACGTGAACTCGCTTGAACTTTACTTGCGGGTCAACCGGGAGGTCAAAGTTAGGTGAATTTAAAATACAGACAGAAGACTCAAAATCAAAACAAACCGAATTTCTTCCAAACGATTTACGGGATTATGATAAAACCTGATATGAACTTGAACCCCCGTCCGAGGATGTAAACAAAATCTGACGTCATCATGACGTCATCATGTAACAAATTACAAGCAATTTAAGGGCCAAATTTGTGAAAATAGTTTCAGCTATCTTTAGAACCAAATAGAGTATCGTGTTCGTTTTCGCGTGAGGCTGTAAATGATGCCTCGGGCAACAATTCTTATTCCAGGGCACAAACCGCTTGACCAACACTTCCGGTGTTACCGGAAGTGCAGTAAAAATTGAATTGAATATAACTCTAAAGCGGAAGCTCTTTACTACAAGCAAATAAATTATGGAAGTGTTTAGTACTCACATGTCCACACAGTTGATATGTCCGTCCACGTCCACTAGCGTACTGAGTACATGCAATGGGTAATGTAGCCCCCTCCCCTACCCTGTTCGGTGTTACTCACCGCTTTGACCCGTTGGCAGGGTGGTGGGCCATATCCGCGTCTGCCCGTACGTAGACGGACCGAGCAGGCCTACACTTCACCCCGACGAGAGTAGGAAAATTTCAGGACGGTGCCTCTGAAATCATCTGTAGATTCTGCAGTAAAAAAAAAAATAAAAATAAAAAAAAAAGATAATTAGAATTGTGGGAGATAAAAACTTGGGAGAGGGGTTTCGGTTGTCTCGAGCACAGCACCGGTGGATGCATGAAGACAAACATGGCAAACTCTTACGTGCATGCCTCAAAATCAAAATGCCCCCCCCCCCCAAAAAACCACCCCACACAAAACAGCATTATGACGTCATCATATAAAGGGCGCCCTCTAGCGGTACATCAAATAGGGTTTCCCTTTTTAATTTAAAAACCATCCGTCCAAATTTAACCAAATCGCCCCTTGTTATTTTTGTCAACTACATATAACTTTGCAAGGTTTCAAAATTATGACGTCATCATACGGCGGACGTTACTGTAGGGAGAATTTGAAAATGATGACTTTGTTCGTAGCCCATATAGTGGTATCCGCTACAATGTCGACCTTTGGATTTTTAATGCTGTGACGTCATCAATGCGGAAGTTAGGTGTTATTAATACATACACTTACATTTTCCATATTTACATACGTTAAAAAAAATCCCTGTTATTTTGCCAGCGTATTCTTAATTTATCTTTTTTTTTCGAGGGTGGGCAGGGAGCATTTACCCACCGCATTTTAGATGATAAAATGTAGTAATTAAGTAGTAAAGTCTGTCAGGAGCAGTGTGGCCCATTGGACCATGGGCAGCGCCGGCATTTATCTCCAGTTTCAGAAAATATTTCTATTCCCCCTGGATGGGATGCTAGTCCATCGCAGGTTACTCCCCAGCTAATGCCGGTACCCATTTATACTCCGGGTGGAGAGAGACAAATGGGGGTGAAGTGGCTTGCCCAAAGACACAACATATGGCCACAGCTGGATTCGAACTCCTGACCCTCTGATCATGAGTCACAAACCCTAACCACAGTACTACGGCACAAAAAGGAGTTTGATCACTGCTTGCTCAATTGGAAGTTGGTTACTGCCTCAGTGAATAATATGGAAGACATAATCTAACTTTTGAAGCGCTTTTCTGGTGCTGCACATGACTACCCGAAAATAAAAACGACAAACTTCAATTTGGAAATTGACGGAGCCTCTAAAGTCCTTGGTTAAAGTCCAGTTAATGTAGCATATGCCTATCATCTAAAAATACACGTTTTATGGCTGTTTTGTCTTTGCACAGACGTAATAAAATGATGTTCTGAATTATCGAAAGAATGGTTCGTGGCTAGACTGTACGAATCATTAATTTTCCGCATAAGCAGCATAATATGCTTATTTAACAAAAAATGCATTTTGTGGCTTATCGGTCTTTGCAGGGCAAAATATAAGTTTGCTCTATTGTTTTTGGGCCCATTTTAATAGATTATACAATTAGGTAGCTGCTGAAGGGCGGAGGGGATTGCAACCGCCCCCTCTAAATCTGATACTGTAGAAGGAGGTTGTTGGAAATGAGAGGGTGAAATTATTGTCCATTTGTCTTTGATGAAAACAGTTGGTCTTCCTCGTTTCTACTCATGAATATAAATACAAGGGCGGATCCAGAACACAATTCTAGGGGGGGGGAGGCAAAAAATGTTTTGTTGGATTCTAGTTTCTGACCAGTTTAACTTAATCTTTTTGAGGAAAAGATGGTGGTGTGTGGTGTACGCATTGCGTGCCTTTATTGCGACGCCCAAAAATTTTTTTGGTCCCCCCAAAAAGTGGGTGAAAGAAACATACGGCGTGGGGTTCGGGGCCCGCTTAAGGGCCCCGAAAATTTGTTGGATTTTAGATGCTCCGTGGTGCGATCTGAGGCAATTTCTGCCAACTTTAACCAATGTTTTTTTGAGAAAAAGATGGTGGTGTACTCATTGCCTGCCTTTATTGCGATGTCACAAAAAAACAGTTTCGGGTTTTTTTTTTGGGGGGGGGGGGGGGGGACATGGCCCCCTTTGGCCCCCTGGATCCGCCCTTGCCCTTGCCCAGGGAGCTGATGTTGTATTTAGAATGTTTCATTTGCCCAATGATCAGGGGTAATAATAATGTAAAGCGCTTTGATCTTAGTTTAAAGCGCTATATAAGTACCCATTATTCTTTTCATTAAAAATACTTTAAAAGTGACCAAATCAATTCGTCTCCAATCTTATATATCAATGTTTGTCCTCTGGGAAGTATAGGCCAATGTTTTCCTTTCACGGATTGCAGTAAAATGTTAAATCATCCGTAAACGCACACATTGGAGATGGAATTTGATATGCCCTTTCAAAATGAGGTTTGAATCCACATGTACAGAGTATATAAACACATGCACTGGGTTCAAAACTACATGTAGTGGTGACAGTTTGCCAATTGATTCTCGCAATAAACCCTGTAATCCCTGATATTTCTGTACGAGTTCATCGGCGCCCCAAGACAGTCCCTGCACGAAAGAGTTTTCTTCCTGCTCCGTTTCATTTAAAATTTTAAACATTGCGTGGTAAATAAATATGTAGGGCCTATGGCCTTGTACCTCATTTGAAACTAATCTCATTAAAAGTGAGCAACTGGGCTTGCTTTCAATTTCCAAAGTTGCATTCGATTTCAATTTCCATTGTTATTGCATTGTTGTTGCCTTCTAAAGTCTTTATTACGAATGACAAAGGTTACCGTATAGAGGAGACAGTTGATTGGCCAAGTTTTATTGATCACGCCCCTTTGTTTCAGCGAGGAATGTGATTGGACAGGACGACGGTCATGACGAGCTGTCATGACGAACCGTCATGATTAACCATCCAAAACAAAAGAACGCTACTAGGACTACGGAATAATATCGTTCACTTTTACAGTCAAACGGCCGTAAATTGTACGGATTTTTTTTTTACAGTGAAACTCAACAAACGCCTTGACCTCTAGTGTTTATTCTTTTATTTGCAGGTACTGATGATAAAGCCATTATTGATGTATTGGCGTCCCGATCCAACGCACAGCGCCAGCACATACGGGCATACTACAAGACGGCATTCGGCCGGGTCAGTTTCGTATAAAAAACACAACCTCGTTCCAAAATTCAGTGATCATCACATCTTCATATATCAGACGACTGTAAATCAAAAATTAGAGTGGCCTATACATCGAAATGTAGATAATGTAGACACACCGCAGTGCATTGTGGGAATCGGAAGAAACTAAATGGCGTCACGCGAGATCCCGCGTTGGTATGTTAATTTGCAAGTGCAATATACATTGCTATAAACTGAGAGGTCAATAGAACATAATTTTCAATTTTCGTAACTATTACTTCATGTTATTTCAAGTGGTACGTTAATACTTTGACACTTTTGTTTCTTAAAATTACTAACACCGTCAGCCTTTTTTTTTTTTACAGGAGCTTACAGAGCATCTGCAAAGCAAACTGAGTTGCAATTATCGACGTACAGTTCGTGCATTGATGGACCCACCTGTTGAATATTACGCACGCTGTCTGTACGAAGCCATAAAGGCATGTACTCAAGCGATTGAAGTTTTGATTTTTAATATTGAAGAGGAGTTCTTATTTCTTCAAGATTTTTTTTGGTCCCAAAGGGGTAAGCCTATAGTCATCTTTTTACCTGACCAACTTTTTCCCTGACTGACCGACCGATCGACCGACCGACCAACCGACCGACCGACCTGCCAAAAACTCAACATTGCGAAAAAGCGGGTATAGAATACAGCCATGCGTTTCAAAAGTGTCTTATAAATAGCATTTTCACAGTGTACACATCCTATAAAATAAGTTTACAATAATAAAATGTGGAGTGACCCACTTTCATCTTCTCGGTGATACATTTCGTGCTTGCAAAATTCTCCTATGTTCAATTTGTAAAACCAATCACGCAAATTCACAAAAGTTATACGACCAGCTTTTAGATTCAAAGTACATGTATTAAAAACCGTGTGATTAATTATTTGAACACATTTGGGAAACTCTAGCAACACATTGAGAGGGAAGTAAACTGCTGAGACATCTCAAGTGAGTGAGATATAATCATTCTCTTGACGAATAACTCACTGTCTTTAATTTTACAATTAAGGGACTAGGAACGGACGAGGAGGCACTCGTCGAAGTTCTCTGCACGAAGGATAATGAGGTATTATTGTTCTTTTCAAGTTCATATTGATGATCATGTACGGGCCGTTTCTATGCATGTTGTATTATTAGTACCAAGTCATCACACGTCATCTGGTCTCTCAAGTTAAGTTAAAAGCATTCTTTGTCATCATTCTTCCAATGATTGGACTAAAGACTGCCATTGATTTAATTACGATTTTTGCAGTAATGACGAAGTATGAAAACGTACGGCATGCTGTATGAAAATAATAGGATTATTTCAGATTTTGTAGGATGATTTTGAAGGCTTTCATTTATACCATTTTCGGAAAAAGCCACACACTTAAAAACGTGACAGAATCATTCGTGAGCACTTGTAAGGATCAAGTCGGGCTTGTTTCTTATTTCTCGACATTACGGAAAGAATAAATGCATTCACTGAGTTGATTAAACTAAGAAACTATCTTAGAGTCTCTCCCATGTTCTTACATGCAGGAAATAAAGGAAATCAAAGTCCATTACAAAAATGGTAAGTTCTTTTTAAATAAGATAGACTCCTTTGTTATCTCAATATGAAAACTGCATTACTTTTGAGCTCGCCTTTGCAATTCTCTGAAATCTTCATTCATTCTTAAGTTAAACTGAATCATGGTTTTTGTTTTCTCCCAAGCTTACAAACGTGACTTGGAGGAGGATGTTGCCGGGGATACCAGTGGACATTTTAGACGGCTGATGTTATCTATGTGCTCGGTGAGACCAACGAACGGACGTTTAAGGGGCCATGAATACATATACTCCCCAAAACCTTTGTTGTGCATATTTCTATCAATTTATCTTGTACTAAAAAAAGAGATAGACGTAGATGGCATGTCACTTTATGTCAACATTACAGTTAAGGGATTCCCTAAAAAATATAGAAACTCAAAATGAACCCATTATTAATCCTAAATGAATAATCTTCTATCATGATTTAGGCTGGCAGAGACGAAAATAGATCAGTGGACCAAGAAAAAGCAAAGGCTGACGCCCAAGCAATTTTTGACGTAAGTAAGCCTTCATTCAGGGTATCACTTTTGTGCATTTTTTGGGTTTAATTTGAAGCAACGCAAGTGCTCAACATTTTAAGAAGAGTGCACTATTTTTTTAATAAAAACATCGCTTGCCTCGAAAAAACTGTCATAAAAATTATTGCAGTTCTTCCCAGGGCCCAACGATAAAAATGCTGGCAGCGCTTGACTTTGATGTTTTCTCGTATACATTGCTAGTATATATTTTCAACAGTTAAAAATTACAGTGCACATGTACATTTACATTGTAGAAACTACTGTGTGCCCTGTGTATAATGCTTAATTGCCCAGAAACAAGAGCAGTCTTGAATTTTGTTGACAACCTGTATTATTTTGTATGCATATGGCGAATGTGCGCTTTCGCTGGGAGCCAGGCGGGACGAGGGGGCCCAAAGCTCCCCTTTGAAAGCGCACATGTAAACAAACCGTGTCGTCATTATGTCCCGGGACTTTAACCAAACGATTTTCGTTTTCTCCATTATAGGCCGGTGAGGCACGCTGGGGTACAGATGAGGCCGTCTTTAACCGTATCCTGGCAACGCAAAGCTATGCCCAACTTCGCGCCATCTTTGATGAGTACGACAAGGTGGGTACAATGGAAGACATATCTCAAACACAGTGGCTCTTTCTTTTGAAACAGTTTCACTTTTACATGTATGCTGTTGGACTTTAATTTATGTTAATTATTGGACTATATGTTGCAGAGATTTTCTTAAATAAATCGCGGTTCGGCTTCCAAAATAATATTTGTAATATTAACATCAGACTATTTTTTATCGATTTTTTAATCACAGATCTCTGACAAGGGTATAGAGGGCGCTATCATCAGTGAGACATCCGGGGACTTACAGGATGGCTTCCTCTCTCTCGGTAAAATGATTATCACAATCCGTTTTGACTAGTCCTTCTTAACTACACTCAAACGTGCGGGTACCGGCATTAGCTGGGTGTAACCTTGACTGGCATCCCAGGGGACTATAGATATAATAAAGTCATTTCATGACAGGAAATATAGCCAGGAAGACTGTATTTTCTTAGTCATATACTTTGTTTCATCATACAATACATCATTTTAAAACCCATCTCTATTTTTTCTCGACTTTGTTTTAGTAAAGAGCGTTCGTGACACTCAGTCCTTCTTTGCCGAGCGACTGTACAAGTCTATGAAGGGATTAGGCACCAATGATGAGATGCTAATCCGATGCGTTGTTTCCCGAGCTGAGGTATAAATCTTTCGATTCCATTTTCAAAAAGAATCGACGCTCTGCAATTGAAAGCTTTCAAGCCTAGTTGCGTGTACTGAATTTCAAGTTGTGGTTGTTTATCGTGCATACGCAAACACATTTTATTATTCGTGGTTTTAGCTTAGGCCTATGTCTTCCCGATCCACTAATCGTTTTAAATGAGTATGTGAATGTTGAGTGAGGAAACACAGGCCTACAGAAGCAAATCATCTATTCGATAATTAGAATCAAGTTTATTTAATCAAAAACTGTGAACAAGGAAACTTATCTTAAATTCCCATTCTCCAAGAAAATGGAAGCATTTTCTTTTCTACACCAGCAGCAATAAAATTTGAATTGGCCACGCCCTATAAAGGACGGCGCACCGTAATTTATGCAAAATATCAATTCGCGCATGGACAGACATTGGTCCTGAATGAACCCATCTCTTGCTCATACAATAACTTTTGAACGGTTTTCTCTTCAGATCGACCTCGCCAAAATTAAAGAGATTTTCCTGGCCAATTACGGGCAGTCGCTGGGTCAATTCATCAAAGACGACACGAGCGGAGCTTACAGGGATCTGCTTCTCCGGATAGTGGACGGTGATACATGCCACCCAAGTTCTTAAAATTTAATCTAAAAATGCAAATGTTAACAAGAAAAATCCTCATCGCAAAAAAAAGAGGCTATTGATTTTGTGTGTGCAATCCTTGACATTTGTTGGCAACAATTTAGCTGAGGTGTGAGGAACCATAAAGCTCTTTTGCCAAATATTCTTGGAAAACATTTACAAGACCAAACAGTCTTGAGTTCGCAAAATGGTCGAAAAAATGTCGGAGATGCCAGTGCATTGGTATTACTTGGAGACATAATGAACGGATTTCCGACATTTTGGGGCGCACAGTATAACAAAAATAGTGAGGCTGGATTTTTATTTTGTTGTTATCCTACATACAGTCATTGTCTTTGTGATGCACCTCGATATAACATTCCGTTATTCATTAAACACTCGACACATCTAATATGATTTAAGAACTAGGTAAGTTTATATTGCAAATAAAAACTTTACAGTTAAAACAAACAGTTTGTAGAAGAAAATTCACCATTTTCATGTAATTACGTTTATGTATTAAATAAAGAAATGTAATTATGCAAAACACTCCCTAGAAATCCAATAAAATGGTTGACCTTTTTCTCGGAGTAGGATAATAAACGTCATTTTTGATTGACAACGTTCAGGCGTTTTAGGTGTTTATGGGAAGTATAAACTTGAACGTAAATAGGCTTTGCGGAAAAATGAAAATATTTGTTAAATATTAAATGATGGTATGGGTTTGTATAAGTTTTGCCTACTCCATGCATATTTTAAACCTTTCTGTTTCACTAAATTAGATTATAATGTACTCCTATTGAGTTCAAGATGATTTCTTGTTTAATTCCCTTTGATAGCAAAGACTCTCGGACCTATGAAAGACTCGTATTTGCACGTGTAGAATTATATTAACAAAATGAAATGGTGTAATAAAAAATAGGATATGTATAAAAAAATAATCGATTATACAATGTAGTCCAACGGCTATGATATAGTAACTGTAATATCCAGGAACTGACAAATCATTAAAAACAAATACTGAAAACCCTGTGAAATCCACAAAATTTACCGAACTGCAAATGAAAGTGGAAATAAAAGTAATGAATATTGCTATACAAATTCACTGTTTTCGTCACTTTTGTAATTCATGATTAATAAAAATAGGTTAAAGTTTTCGGTTTCTTTTTAACCATCAGTGAAACACCGTGTCCCAAATGATAAATGCCCATATTCAATATTCCTATTTAGAGCTCAATGTGCCCTTGCTAAATACTACCCTACAGTTGCCAATCAAGTTAGAAAATGTTTCTTCTTGATACATTTAATCTAGCGCCGAGTTTTGTTTAATACAAAAACCCTACCTATAAACTAAAGACATGCTCTAATAATATTATATCAGTTGTTCCTGCCAACGTAGCGCCCTCTAGCATTGTAAAAGTGTAGCCCCCTCTACGGTGACCCAACGAGTGCGATCAGGATTTTACGGAAGTCTCCACTCGTTTCACTTTTGATGGCTTCGGCCAGCGACTTGCCGTGCTTGGCCGTGTAGGCGGTCTTGATGTGTCCCAGATCCACCTGAGAAGAAATAAGTGACGATAATTGGGTATAATAATGGTAGGGAGAACTCCTAATATTAAGTCGAAGCTCACAGCAATTTCATCTAAAGTTGTCTTGAAATTGTACGAATATTGTCTGACTGACCTCGCAACGGGACACGATGATGCGAATCAGTTGTCTTTCATCAGTTCCCACGCCTTTCATAGCTTTCTGCAGCTGATCAGCGTAGAACTGAACCGGACTCCGGAAAAAGGCAACTGAAGAGAAAAAAACGGAGAAACACATCCCACAATTAGTTGGCACGAAAACACGAACACTAGCTTTGAATTCTGCATTTATTTGAAATCAGTGTAGATAAAATCCACTCCTGATCTGTGTCACCAGAAGCGAAGAGCTGGCTGAGGCAATTGATCTTAATATGTGGCCTTCAAACCATTCGAAGAACAATAAAATAATAAATAGCCTTATTGAGATATGGTGGACAAAATAGAGGGCGCAATTTGAAATTTCTGACCCCCCCCAAAAAAAATGGCTGTGGCTATTGACTGTTACGTGTCAATGGTAATAACTGAAGTCGCATCCACAATCACATCAATATTTAACAACCGACATTATGGCGAATCACAGACATTCACTTACCAATGGTTAGATAGGCAGTCTTCAGATTTCCAGACATCTCGCTCTTAATGGTGGCCTCAATGGCTTTCCCGGTCAGCTACAAAAATAAAGAAAAATCGGTTTCCATATAAAAACAATCATATCTTAGCATAAAAACTGATTAATGAAATTCGCAGAATACGTGAAAGTCGTGGAAAGCGAGCGTATCTGAAATGAGGCTCTAGCGACATCCGTAAAAGCCATTGCATTTACACAGCCTAAAAAAAAATTTCATGACTTTTAAGGCTCTGCAAAATGAATACATGTTTCTATCTCTATAAATTTGAAATGTAACCCTGTCCCTTAACAGCCTCGTACCTTTTCATACTCATCGAAGAGAGCCTTCAGATGCTCCTTTGACCTGGACACGAGTATGCGCTGGAACTCAGACTCGTCCGTGCCAAATCCTTTGGCTGCCTGTTATAAAAATAATATAACCGCATGCATCAATTATTCCAAATATCCTACTCAATAAAAATAATACTTGTTTTCAATAACAGTTGATGCGCTGTATATAGCTGATTGCTCATCTTAATTTGTTGTTATCACTGCATAATGTTGTGGAAATTGATGTGTTTAATTATACTCTATATAAAGCATGTTACCGTTTGGAGAGCCATCGCGTCCTCTCGCACTTTCTCAATATTTACCGCCGCAGTTTCATCTCTCCCAGCCTTGAGGAAAAAAAAAACAATCACAGATGAGAAACAAGTAAACCAATGCTGCCGTTTTGGGGGTAAAATATCCAAAAGGTTTAGACGGAAATGAACATGTTTCAGTTAGGGCAAAACCTAATTTAATTTGATTTAATTTGATTCATTAAGTTGTTTATCGATGTTGATTTATCAAAACAATTATCTTACCGTGCACAGGCCAATCAGAACACGTTTGAAGTCTCCGCTGGTCTCACTAGCCAGAGCTTTCTCTAGGTCACCCTTAAACTCTATATGATATTTATAAATAAGAAAAACCCGGGAACTATTATCATTTCATCATGTTTTGCTTAAGCTTTACCAATAATGCCTTTCCTTATATCAACCCTGATTGGGAACTATCTTTTCCAGTAAGGTTCAATTCCTAATTCCAGAAAGAAGATTCTCCAATATGGCTGTTGGATTGAAAGAAAGGCTGCAGTAACAAGCTTTAGTCGAATAGATTCTATGTAATACGCAACATAGTCTCTACTTGATAGCCAGCCTCGCTTGTACAAAACAGATACAAAACAGATATAAATATCTATGTCCAACAGCTGGGCAATCATATGCTATTAAACTGATTACATTTTCCCCTTTATTAGCATGCATGAATGTTTAGTTCAAAAGACAAACTAAAAAAAAATGAATGCCCTGAAAAAAACACGAGACTAACAACTGGAAGAACCCTTACCTTTTTTATAGGCCTCTTTTATTGCCTTTATTTCCTGTGAACAGAATAAAGAACAACATGAAAAATTAAACTTCGGAGTAATTTTACAAAAACGAAATTGATTTGGTTCCGTGTTAGTTTCAGTTTTTGTCAATGAATTATTGGCATGTTAAAAGATTTTTTGCAAATATTATATTCAGCTTACCGCGTTGTTCCTTGCACACATGATCTCAATCAACGTGTCCTCGTCAGTCCCCAGACCCTAGCAGACAAAATCAAATTAAAAATGGACAACTTAATTTCTGCCACAAAAATCAGGTTTCCTCACCTATGGATACAAAAATAAAGTAAAATCATGATTCTGAATATATTTGATATTATTGTATTGTTTTAGGAAGGTGTTCTTACATTAAACTGCATTAAATGGAAAATTCAGTTTGGAAGGTTACTGAAACATTACTGTATCCAGAGAATTATGCAGATATTATTCAGATATTCAAAATGCAAGTGCGCGCCTCAGTAATGTCTTGTAATAATAGTTGCTGCCGGATTTACCTTCATTGCTTTCTTGAGACACTGGGCATCGTACACATGAGGACGCTCCATCAGGGCCAGAATAGCATCCTCAAAATGTCCTCCGAGTTCACTCTTCAAGTCTTTCACTAAATCCTGTTTATCGTTAGGGAAGATCAATGATATAGTTATTACACGCGGATATGGATATATTAATTTCAGTAAAAACCTAAGAAAATTAAGGAACTGATGGTAATTGTATTATGGTCTGAGAGATGAGTGATGAAGGTTTATTTAAAGACGTGAGCATTAATTGTGGCTTATTACTAAAAATTGAAAGGGTCATTGGGGGCTCGTTTTCTGGAGGAAGGCACTAAATGGATTGTTATTATTATAACGTTAATTTCTTGCCTCCCAAAACTTGGGGGGGGGGTGCATAAGGGAGGGATGGACAGGGTCTGGAGTAGGGTGGGGGAGGGGGTTCGAGTAAATTTCAGATTCAATAGTTTAGTACCCTGACTCAACAACATGGCTTGACCTTACTCTGCCATAGGAGCTCTTGAATTGTATTATCAGCTCCTGTCTCTGTGCATTGCTTCGACTGCTGAGGACATCGATAATAGCCTGCTCGTCTGTGCCTGCAATGTGATAATAAACAAGCTGAATTTATAAAAGAAATCAATAGGACATTTCTGAACTATTGGGGACGCTGTAATGGACCGTTATGTAACTATTAGTAAACTGTTTCAACAAACAGGATTATTGTTTCGCTGCAACGCCCTCATTTGTCAAACGAATGTAGCTTCAGTGGAGTAGTGACGCTGCACATGTTTGTGGGTCAATGTTTGCGGCTGTGTACGTACACGTCTAATGAAGAGCGCCAATAGCGTCCAATGATCTCTTGCAACCCCTGCCCTACCCATCACCTGACTGGCTTCCCCTCCACGCTTTGCTGATTTTCCAAGGCCGGGAAATTCCCAGTATTTTCCCTGCTTGATGAGCTCATGAAAGCCCAATCAACTTACCTAAGCCTTTCATGGCTTTTCGCAGGGCTTGGGTGTCATGATCTTTGTCGAAGTTGGCTGCTGGGGTTACGGTTGCCTGCATATTGAAGAATACAATGCCTTATCACTCTAAGTATTTTGAGACTGACAAAAGGACTATATCTAGACGGAAATCGTTGGCATATAATTCACCAAACTGCACTTTTTATCTTTTTTGGCTCAACAACAACTTTTCACTTTTCACTATAATAGTCCCTTATTGTTTCTATAATTCTTAAAAATGAATTAAAATTGTCAGGGAAAGATACTCATTTCATAGGGAAACAAGCAGGTTTCTCTTTCAATTACACAAAATACTTTAATGAAAGCTTGCAGACACATAATGTTTTTCAGGGCGGGGAGCACAAAATGAAAAGATTTTAATAGATTTGGCGGGCATGATACTCGAAATATGGATGATAGTCTCAAGGCTTACTAAAATGAATGAGCCCTTTATGAAACCAGTTATAACCACTTAAGCCGCAGCAAAATACAATATCTGACTCATACATTTCCCCGGATCTAGCATGAGTGTGAAACAAGGAAGTATGAGTTTTGGATGAAACTATGCGTTCCCACACACATTAACATACGTTGTTGTAAATGTATGCTGCTTATGTGAAGTGAAATGGGAGAAAACAACGCAGTCGCTCCTGATTAAATTAATCGACTTATGTAATTGACGTGAGTGGTCCATTGTGACATCTGTCTGCCATATGGTTTTACTGCGTTCTGCACAGACATCATTATTGCATTCCGCGAATTACATGAAAATGTTTCAATAGTAACATACATTCATTTTGTTCCAGGAGGAACAATGGAACAAAATGCAATTATATTCAGCAACAAAGTTTGAAATCATGTTTATCTCTACATATACATGTATTGATTCCTCATGTAGGAATCATACTTCCTCGCCCAATAAACTAGCAAGATTATGGGCTATTTTAAGAACATAGCTGACCTCACATGAGCATAATATAAAATACTACATACAATTTCTATTGGGGTTTGCACACCCGGGATGCAAGTTACTGCCTACAGTAGAAAAACAGTTGATTTAAACCACCCTCAAAATAGGCTTCCAAATGTTTGGTGTCACTTTGACGGCTTGAAATGCGTATAACTTAGTGTCATTGAAAGGACACCACGAAAATAGGCCTACATAAACACATGCACTTAGGACAACGTCGTTGATAGAATCTTTTCAGTCGCTCGTCAATGCATTTCGAATATGTTAGATTCTTATACAGATATTACTGTACACATGCAGCCATATCTTGTGTCATGGAGATTGGAACAGACATGCATGCTTGTACAAACACATAATTAATAGGTTCTTGCCACGCCCCATATTGGTTAAACATTACTAGGCCTATAATTAGCCTATCTACAGTTGGGGGCGGTTCATTCACAATGCATGTATTACATTCCGGACGGTTACTTTCAAAGTTCACGTTCTGTATATAATCAAAAGATCAACTTACCATAGTGCGGGAATATTCAGGCCGATACTGTTGTCAGATCAGTGCTTCAGTGGACGAGTGAAATCTTTCCCTTCTTCCTCATGTATACGTGTTCGGTCATACGATACACGGCCATTTAAAAATAAAGTCTTGTTTGTTATCGGAGATAAATTGCGCATGTCATTTTGTCTCCCTATTTGCTTTTGCTGAGATCAAAGGTGATGTACCCTCTAACTTATTGATTTCTCTTTCATATTTATCTGTCTATAACGAGTCCTTACTAGAGGCTAACATAAAGTCAAACTTAAAAAAAAAACCAAAGCTGACGGGTTACGTTGATAAATTGTTTGCATACAGTAAACGGAAACATTCGATCTCATGGCCAACACAACACAGAAAGTGAAACGAACCATCACTTTTTGACAAAAGCCGCGACCTTTCTGTAAACGCATTTTTGGTCCGCGTTTTGTACCATGACCTGTTTGTTGTTATTATCATGCATAACAGACTTACAAAAAGAGCAAGTTTATTTCCTTAGGTTAATGGCACATCCTGTTCATAACTCCGTTTCCCGTAAACCAGTAGCCTAATAACTTGAGCCGGATATTTTGTGTTAACCTTTAAGACTGCAGGGCTACGGTCATAGTGTCACGTAGACAAATGTCACAAATCAAGGTCAGCATTTAATCATACACAAAACCAGAAGGAAAACAACAATTTTGTAACTTACTTCACGTAGCAAGTTTATTATAAAATCTTAGAATCATGTTGATTTAACAAAGCAGCAAGTTTTACTTCAGTCAACATTTTTTAGACTTGGAAAATATTGGAGCTTATTATGTTGTCTTGCAAAAAGCGGCTTTTCACGATACTACCAACTGACGAATACATGACAGTCTCTCTTCGAAAAAGACTGTTACATTTTACCACATCCAAATTTGAAGTCGTTCACATTAAGACAAAAATACGCGTCAATCCGAAAAATCAAAACCATAAAAGTGTTCAACTAAGCATTATAAACACAGCTCTAAACATTTCAAAATAGTTTGTTAAATTCTGATTTGCACAAGGCTTCCTTCAAGATAGCACATGATGCCCACTTACATACAACGAATCAATTTATAATTAGGTAACAATTTTATAATGAAAAAAACAACAAGCAGATTTGTAAAGAGATTGGTAATAAATTATCTCATGATGTCAATGTGACCAGGACATTCTTGAAATCTCCACCGCATTCGCTTGCGATAGCGCCCTCCAGAACTTTGCCGTACTTGAGGGCGTAAGCCGCCTTGATACCACCAAGATCGATCTAAAATATAAAACAAAGACATTCTAATAAGTTAGCTAATAATGATATTACCACTTTGTCAACGAAACTGTCGGGGGAATTAAGACTACTGTAGCACGCACTGTACGACATGGCATGGGCTGTAAATTCGCTCGTACCACCCCCCCCCCCCCCCCCCCCCAGCAAACAGGACGCTGGGATACTCTGATGAATTCACGCTCTGATTGGTTGGATTTTGCGAGACTTGTGACCTGCGCGTCATCACGGTCATGACTCTGCAAGGATTGAAACGGCCGTTAAGACCGATTTATTACTCTTTTATTCCAGTTTAGAGAGGTTTTTTTCGTTGAAAAGCGGAATAATGTAGGAAATTCTGTAAAACTTATCTGTGTTGAAAATTCCTGTCACTTGCTCAGGCTCCGTTTCGAATCACGAACGGTCGGATTGCATTATGTGACGCTCAAAATGTTGTCCACATGGTCCGCAATGAAACAGAAATCACATCCGGTATGGAAAGTGTGTATTTCCATGGGAAGTTTTCGGATAGCATTTGCGCACATTGTTTAACTGCGGTCTTGAACAGCTGCAGCCAGATGCTTTATATAAAGGTCATAGGCCACTTCCTTCACAAGATTCTGTGAAGCTCATCAGAGTATCTCAGCGTCCTGTTTTGCTGGTCGGGGGTACGAGCGAAGGGCTGTAAAAGCGCCCGCCATGGACTCAATGCAGAATTGCGCCATCAACGGTGTAAATGAGTCAGACATAAAGTGCAGAATTGCGCCATCAATGCCGCCCCATATCATCAACGTGTTTAATTGCATGTGCTCCGATACCAGCCTATTCCCTTACCTCTGAGCGTGATACAATGATGCGTATCAGGTGGTCCTCGTCTGTGCCCAGACCCTTCATGGCCTTGTTCAGCTGATCAGCGAAGAACTCCATCGGATGTTGGAAGAAACCAACTGGGTCAAGAAAGAGGGGGATGAACAAGAATCCATTTTCTCTTAAGATCATTGTTGTTATGTGATTAAAAAATTTCAGGTGAAATCTTAGAAAATATTTTTTTAAATCAAGTTTTTTTTTTAAAAGAGTGTACACTGTTACAAAAAAATGGAAATAGGACATGATTTACCAATTGTCGAGTAGGCCTTGCGTAGACTTCCTCCCATCTCGCTATTGATGGTATCATCGATGGTTTTTCCAGCAATCTGGAAGAACAAGTGAACACATGTCACAGTTTGAAAAAAATTGTCTCTTTAATTAATAGGGTGACCACCTGTAGACATTGCATGTGTCTATGCTATGCACAAAAGGCAATATTTCATGGGAGACTAAGCGCATACATGTACTGAGCATTCAATTAATAATGCTCAGCAGAAATTGACAAGTGGCCAAAATATATACAATTTATATAATTGATGTCTCTTAAATCCAGCTTTTTTACCTGTTCATAAGCTTTAAATACCGCCCTCAAGTGAAGGGGGCTTCTCGTCACAAGGATCCGCTGGAACTCAGACTCGTCCGTTCCTAGACCCTTAGCAGCCTACAAAAAAACAATAACATCAAAGTTCATTTCATAAAAGTGCCACAAACAAATCTTTCCATCTCGATGCAAGTACATTTGAAATTCGTACATTCTATAGAAAGCATAGACTTGCTTCCAGTACACTCTCTGTCTCCTTAAGTGATGATTTAAATGAAGTTTACATTTACAAAGGATTTATTTTGTCCAAAATAAAATTTACCTCCATCAGGGCTTCGGCGTCCTCCTGTACTTTCCCCTCCTCGACGCCTGTACCTTCGTCTCTGCCACCCTGAAAATAAATCACAAAAATTACTAGAATTTCCTTTCATAAAAAGCTCAAAAGTGCTCATTTTACTTGCATAATATCATCAAATACGTCAAGCGATAACCCCCCCCCCCCTCAAAAAAGAATTCCTGGAATTTTAACATGACTTCGTAAATGTACATTATGTTTTCAATTCTTTGAATACAACTAGTAGCAGGGCATTTCTTTATTTATTTTTGTTGGTGGCCTACGGTGGGGGATGGGGGATGGGAATGCTCTTCTTTAGGCCTAGTCTGAGTAACGTCTATTTGCTGACGTCAGCTCTACTCAATTGACCAATCAGCGTCTACACTTACAGCACAAAGGCCAACCAGAACGCGTTTAAAGTCACCGCTAGTCTCACTCTCCAGCGCACTCTCCAGATCCTTGCCAAATGCTGCCAAGATTAGAATTGAAAGAAACATTGAATTTCAGGAACAAGTCAATTCAATTAAATGCACATTTAACGGCGCTTAATACTTCAAATAAAAGAACTTCGTAGGAAAAAGAGTGAACTTACCAGCTTTGTAAGCAGCTTTCATGGCGGCAAGTTGCTGTAAGAAAAATTAAAATTACGGTAATTATTATCCATTTTTCAAACTTATGAGCATGTATTCAACGACGAAAGGTTCATCTCAAAATCTCAAATCTCACAATATGAGCGAACATGTCTCTTTATTTAAAAATAGAAAATAACTAGTTATCATAGCAATACGTGACAGAAAAGGTTCCAAGTTTGCAATTCTTTAATTATAAAGTTTAGTATAAATACAATCTCGTTAAGCGACATCAGACAGGACTGTGCGAAAAATCACAATGTTCCCTAAAATATACTTACCGCCTTGCTTCTGGTGCACATGATCTCAATCAACACAGACTCATCAGTTCCAATGCCCTATACAAAGAAAAAAATAAGATTATAACAAAAATGATTAAAATGAAAGCTAAACGAAATGTCTTTTCATGGAGTATAGGCACCTCATTGTAACATAAAAACACTTCTCTGCCAATTTATTATAGGGTTGCCAGAGTCAATGAAAGCGAAATCACATTTAGGCTTGTGTCTTCTTAGCTTCATACCTTCATAGCTTTCTTGAGGCACCTTGCATCGAAGACCGCAGGCAGGTCCATCATTGCTAGGACGGTGTCCTCGAAGTTCCCTCCCAACTCACTCTTGAGATCTTTCACCAAGTCCTTCAAGCAAAATTAAAAAGAATATCAACAATAATGTGTAATAAAATAGCGCTTTCCATCAATGGTATTGGTCTCAAAACACTTCACAAGAGAGGAATTTCAAAATGGCACTCAGGACGAGTGCATCAGTACTGTCTTTGTTGAGAGAATTCAAAAAAGAAAAGTTGAAACCATAAAGTCTGAGCCAATGTGGCCCATCAGGCCAGTGTTTATCTCCGGTTTCAGTAGCATGAACGACTGAGAATATTTCTATTCCCCCTGGATGGGATGCTAGTCCATCGCAGGTTACTCACCAGCTAATGCCGGTACCCATTTATACTCCTGGGTGGAGAGAGGCAAGTGGGGGTGAAGTGGCTTGCCCAAGGACACAACATATGACCAGCAGCTGGATTTGAACCCCGACCCTCTGATCATGAGTCACGAACCACATACACTCCCCAGAAATATAAAAACAAAGGTCCTCCATTCATACAATGGCTTTGCACTGATAGCCTCGGTTTGAGCGCTAATTTGAACTTCGTCTTTAACCCGGTTCATGAGGTCTTGAGACCACTCACCCTGCCGAATGAAGCCTTGAATTTCACTTTCAGCTCCTGACGTTGTGCGTTGGATCGATTCGCCAGGATATCAACAATAGCCTTCTCATCAGTTCCTGGATGTGAGGACGAAAAACATTCGTGTAATAAAGTGGACAAGAAGTGCGACTGGATTAAAACTCTGATTTCCAGCATTTAGAAAACTGACCAATGATATATGTCTAAGCTAAGCTCTGGCAAGAGATTCTACAAGGTGGTCGGTCGGTCGGTCGGTCTGTCTCTCTGTCTCTCTGTTTATCCCCGTAAATTGACCAAAAGTGTGGTGTTCCATATATGCCATCTGAGTTGAATTTTCGGCGTCGCATTTTTCAGCTCTGGCAGGGATCATTTTGATCAAATTCATGCAAGACTTTCATGCAAAACTTTTTTGCAACACGGCCACAGTTTATTGTGCAATTGCACTTGCGCTGTACAACATCTTCCTCGAATAAGGTGGACGCCATTTTGTGTAGTGGTTGAACGGTATCCAGAAGGAGGAAATGTCCCCAAAAAGGTGGGCGGGGTGCGACTTTTAAGCTCTCGCAGGAGTTTCTACATGTCACTTGGTGATCGGTCTGTCGGGCGGTCTGTCGGTCGGATGGTCTGTCTGCCTGTTCCAAAAATTGACCAAAAGTATGGTGTTCCTTATGTGCCATCGGCGTCGCATTTTTCGCCAGAGCTTATTGTGCACTCGCACTTGTTAAAAAGTTAATCGTTACATTTTATGACAGTGGATTGATGTGTTGTTCGATAAAGGAGGCTGGAAACAGTCTTTCACATTCTTTTTAAAGGTCATGAAATGGTAGTTTTCTCGTCTGGTAATTGAGGGTTCATTCATTTTGTAGTTTCTTTATATTTGTACTAACATGTTAACAATTGACATTTCATTGAGTTTCATTGAATTACATTGAATTTCTCCCATTATAATGACCCTGTCATCCTCAATAGGAATGACCATGTAGTTGGTGTCAAAATCAAACTCATGTATCACATCTTCCAATATTAATTATTATCATATTTAGGTTGTTCCTAAGTGTAATTTTCAAAACTGATCCTTTTCTGTGGTGATCAAGGTATGGTCCATAAGTGCAACTCGAGATGAAAAAAAATCCCAATACCCTTATCTCATCTGTTGCTTTACAGATAACAATTATCAATGGTTGCCGCGGCTATCTCGTAGCATGGATCATGTTGTCGAGTACAAAGGTCGCATTTTTTTATTCAAGCAAACATGAGTGGAAAACATGTTTGCATATGAAATTAGCGTGGCGGGGCTGGACGTTTATTTTGCAATTTGTGTTGGAGGTTAATTACTACACGAATATTATTAAAGTAAAAAAAAAAACCCGCGTTTTTCCTAAACGAATCTTCAAATTGTATGTTTTGCTTTCATTTCGCGCATAAATGAACTCGTCCTGCAAGAGCCGAACTGTTGTCTTGCAGCCAATAATTCGAATTTGAGAAGATTGTTTTCAATAACTAAACACTGGTTGATTTCTTTCGTTCTACGTCTCATTCAAAATATCTATATTGCTAGGAAAATATGAAAAAAACAAGGTGAAACTAGCTCAGAAACGCATCTGAAAGCTACGGGGCACTGCATGGAACATTTCGTTAATAATTATTTCCCTCCTTCGGATTGTACAAAATGCGGCTTTTATGAGTTTCGTTTGAGAAAAGATAATTCTGGTTTATGATCCTTTACAAAGAGAAATGTAATCGAACATTTATGAAGACTTTGTGCTGACGGAGAGTCAGCATGATGATATAGTCATTGTGTAAGCCTTGGTTTTCTAAATAAGGCTATCATGTTCCAATATTGCGATGCCAGGTGCAGAGCGTCGATTTCTCTATAGGTTTTCCGTTACTTACCAAGTCCTTTCATGGCTTTTCTCAGTATCTGACAGTCACTGTCAGTGTCGAAATTGGCGGCGGCCGTGACAGTAGCCTGAAAATAAAACAGGAAATTGGCAACAATTTCGTTCACGAAAACCTTTAAAAACCTTCAAGGGCTGATAACGCTGCTGAACAATGTGCTTGAGTACAACTTTGTTTGATAACATAATTCCCACCCATACTTGAGAAGTATACAATTACTCATTAGGAATGAAAACTATACAACTAGGCCTACAAGTATTTAGTTTCCGCGTAGAACTTGGTTTTAAACAGGGTATACATTAAACACAATTTGATATTTGTTTTACCGATCATACACCCAATTTGAAGTTGAAAGCCCGAATTAGGCTTTTCCTGAAGAAAAAGATACAGTTCGTTAGCATAATCATGAAGAATCGAGAGACTAAAGAGGGGAATGGGTGCACTACACTGAAGCCTATAAAAGGTTAAAAAGAAATTGGCAGAAATTATGTTAATATGAAGGGTTAACTTCAATATTTAAATGTAGCTATTACACATTAACCGAGGTCTGAAAATGAATAACGGCTGTGCATTTGTTCCGCTTAACGCACGCTTATAATAAAATTATCGATTACATAAATCATTTTTCGTCCGGCAGCATTGATTTTTTTATGGGATAAAAGCAAAAACAACCTTCTTGTTTGATTTAATTCAGAAACAGTAAGGCCCATTGGACGACGGCCTCTAAATACCACTATATCTTATCCAACGTTTAATGAAAGTCCCGACTATTTTTCAAACTAACCTCGCATAACTATTTGAATAAAACATTTGCAAGTCGATAAAGGTTTTCAGGAATCAGTCAATATTATCTAGCCTAGATGAAACTTTTTTGTACACAATGCCTACGGATATTAATATAAGACAAAATATTAATTTAAATCTTACCATTTCTGAGAGAAGATCCATTCACAGCTGGTCTAATCGTGAAGAAACCTGGGCGTTGGTCTGTTACCGACAATGGTCAGTCCTTGTGAGAAAACGTGGCGTTACTATGGGGGGGGGGGCAAGAGGATGGTCTGTGAACTTTGTACATTCGACTTACCGCATTACGTCATCTAATGACGTAATCATACTCCATCTCCTCGTAGCAGCACGTGTTGATTTTAAAATCTGGTTCCTGTGCCATGTTGTCGCAAAGGATTATACGCGTGGGCATCAAGCTTAGTTAATCTCCATGATATTCTGATTAAATACCACGGCTCCACTTCCAATTTTGTAGACAGCATGCAGTACGGTCTCCAAGCTAAAAACAATCACGTCATTATAGTATTAAAATAGATTTTTGAGGATGGGCATGATCTGTTTTCGGTGATATTCATTTTAAAATCCCATTATTAGTAATTTAGTGATTAGGGCCAGGAACCGTTTTAGAATCTTGATCCACCAATCGACTTGGCTAAATAGCAAAATGTATTGTTTTCATTCAAGTCTGTCTAGGGCATTTTATTTTTTTCAGCAATTCCCGCCATAATTGAATTGGGATACTGTTCTTGGCCCCATTTTTAGCCCTTTTTCATTCGTTTCCATATTTAAATTTGCATTATATTTGCATCCAACACATTCCATTTCCCCTTTTTTCGTATTACATCATGTACTGTGTGGTCGGGGTGAATTCCCAAAACACCACTGCGAATCCCAACGTAACTTGAAAGGTTTCTTCAAAAGAAATACCGCTTTCTTTAACCGTAGTTCTAATTCATGTAAGGCGAAAAAACCTTTAACCATGGGCATCGCCAGGAGGGGGCAAGGGGGGGGGGGGGCGCTTGCAACCAAAAAAAAAAAAAAAAAAAAAAAAGAGGTGCGAAGTCATATTGCTGTTAATGCACATTTAACAACATGGGCGTCCGCAGGGGTGTCAATGGGGGTGGGGTGGGCAAATGTCCCCCGCCCATCCTCGAAAAAAATGATAAATTGAGAATACGCTAGAGAAAGTACAATGATTCTGGGAAATAATGTGCTCCACCCCCCCCCCTAGAAAAAAATCCTGGCGACGCCCATGCCTTTAACCCCTCACCAGTTACGGAATGATTACTCAGTCAGGTTTTCTGATAATGAGACATGTACTGGCTGTACTGACAACATACAGTAACTGTAATCATTTCATACAAGAAATCAAAACACTTCTGGCCTGAGCATGAACATTTTCTTGTCATGCATATTGTAGCATTAGGCCCATCCCACATTATATCCTCGGTGTGGTATCGCAAGAGCCGATAGCGGATCAGAAGATTAAACACATCTCGCCAGACAAACAACCAAAGTACAATAAGTTTTGTTGACACACCTAAGTGCTGGTATAACGAATATGTATCACACGATACATCTAATTGCACATAGAAGTGGCCATTAAGCCCTTCAATACCGGAGATACAAGTTAATGATCAACTTAACAATCTCGAGATCAAAGAAAGCCGGGTTAAAAATTACCCACATTGCATGGGAAAGGGCGCCACATACGTCTGGTAATTTTTAGTGTGAGACGTTATTTTTGAAATGGCGGTTCAGAGTCACACAAAGTGGATCGCTTAAACTGAGTGAAGTGAGCATCGAGGCAAGCATAAATATGAAGATGCGGGATGACGTACATGCATTAGAATCTTCATATTTACTTTCTTTTGAATTTTTTCAACAAATTTAATGATACATTCAAAGTCCGATTATAGCAACATCTACGCCCACATTCAACAAAAGAATGACTTTCTCACGACTGCATGACAAATCCCAACCATCGCCGAAAAGACTCAACGTTCAGCTTCATGTTGTAATAGGCATGTCCTAATTGGTCTGGGCATGCGCATTTAGAAGAGAGTCTCAACCAATCTTACAATGATTACAATCTTCATAGTATATTACCAAGGAAATTCAGGTGTAACTGCAAATGTGAGAAAAGAAATCGCCCACACGTCGTAATTTTGTATACATACTTATAGCCAGCTAGCCAGCTGCTTCGATATGGACCCGATCAATTTGGACACGTAAACATTTTCTCAAAGTCCATATTTCGTCTGCTACCATGGCAACATTCCTATAATTACTGATAAAAATGCAAACGCGGAACGTGCCTGTCTACAGAATATAAGGACAAATAAGTTGTAATACTTCCAAAGTCACAATGTACAAATGTAAAACAATATGGTTAACTGTATTGTTATTACCAACTCCTCAATTGTTCTTTAACTCGGTAAATTTTGGAAGCAAAATTATCGGAGATATCATTACATCGCGAAGAAATTCTCAAAAATTCACAACTTCGATGTCCTTGCAATGCAACCATAATTTTCGAAAACCCTCTCAAGCTGAAACGAGTTCTAAGAATTGCCCAAAAAACACCCCAAAAAACCCAACGATATCTCAGCCGACTCCATTTGTTGACATTTCAACCCCTAGGATCGATTAGTCTGGCGAGGTCTCTGCATATTATGTGATGCCACGTCGTGTGACTCTCAGTATGACTCATTGGGAAAATATCGAAAATCAGTATATTTGATATTTGAATTCAGGGGTTGGCAAAATCAGTACATATTATATATGCAGGCGAGACAACCAGATAACATGAAAGAGACGAACATTTCATCGTCTCATCGTCTCACTTCCTTCAGAAGTTTTTACGAAAAGAATAAGCGGCCACCGAGACGAGTAAAAGTCCAAAATTTGTTTTTTTATTTGGTGTGCGCTTACGCAGTTGTACTAGACGAATGCACTTGTGCTGGTCACAGAGGGCAAGCCTAATGTCGTCTGGGTACCAGACTTACTGACTGACTCACTGACTGACATCACTTATGATTGATTGTCGGTGAAGAGAACCGAGCAGTGCTCTTGTATAGGATTACCGCATAATAGTCTGTATACACCTGATGCATGAAAACACTTCCGACCAATGAAAAGCCATACTGAATCAATTGAATAGAATTGTATGCTCTCTGTGACCAGCTTTACTAGGTCTGCATTGTTGTGTCCAATGTTATCTTTTTAAAATGCACCATAGCATGCGGAATGCTACCAGTCTGAATTATTTACACATGTTAATTTATTAAAGTTAATTATTCATTAAAATCAACAAGCTGTTTGGCCTTTATACCCACTCTTATTTGCATAACGTGATGAGGTGATTATAGTGATCCAATACACGAAAGCCGCGCATGCGTATTTACCATTCATTAATCCAAAGTTCAATTTCTGATCGAGTTTAATATATCATCTGCCGCAGAACAGGGTTGGGTTCTTTTCAACGGGGCGTCTGTGTGACAAAGGTCTGATTTATCAAATTTTCCGGATCCGCAACAGGTTGCTGTTAGAGAAGAAATGGCTGAGCTTGCCGAAGTAAGTATATTTTTTACACTCGTCAATGCAAATACTTTCTCTTATGAAAAATGTGTGTCCATTTCTAGGAAGTGCATGCAATCCTATGCAATCAACGTAGGCCAAGCAAACTATAAAAGCGAACAATGTTGCAGAGATTAGATGACATTTTGTAGCATGATTAAACCCTTAAGACTTTACGGTTTAATATAGAAGAGCCACGCCTACAACGTGCAGACATTATGGGGCGGTATGGTCAGGCTTCCGCCTCTGGTGGCCCTGGTTCGAATCTTATTTTGTGCACGAGAAGGTTGTCAGTCCTTTGCATTGCCAAAAACTGCTTTCTTTTGTTAAATATACATCATGTGATTTACAAAGAAAGTGAATAATTCGAAAGTGAAAGGAACTGTTTGTTATTGACATCATAATAAGAAAGTTTAGAATATTTACCAGAATGAAACCAAAACACTACAAGAGTGAACTGTTTATGTTCGCGCTGTATGCTATTCTAAATTTATCGTTGTTTAAAAATACCGTATACAAAGGAAGTTTACATCGCGGTTTACACTTTTAAAAGAATACTGTTATGAATGTGTAACTATATAGAGATAGTTTACTTTATATTTCCTGTAAGGTACATTTGTACCTTTAACATACTCAAGGAAGCGTTTGGCTCGATATTTGTGTTGTGTTTAGTAAATTTCAAGGAAAAAACTTGATATTGAAACATGGCGTAGTTGGAATGTCAATTAGAGGCATTTTTAAGATTACAATTAAATTTAGTAAAATTTAATATATCTCTTGCTGCGTAATATCTACAATTGAACAAAAATTGGCGAATTTCAGAGCAAAAAAAATAATTGTAGAATTAAAAGTGGGATTGATTTTGTATGGAGCTAAATCGCCTATCGACTGCTCGATGCTAACATCAGTCAATATTCTTTGCCACGTGGCATTAGGTATAGATTCACCTAAGTTAATAAATAACTGCATAATCAGCATTATTTTAATCGTTCGATGTGAACTTTGAATGTAGACAGTGTGGGCTGTTAATATAAAAATTAAAATTGTCTTGAATTTATGTACGTCATTTTTAAAAAATGAACAGTTTAGCAACAATGACACTGAGTCGACCAATCTTTACTTTAAATTCACGAAACACAGTTTAGGTTTCGAGCATCGGATTTGCCATTTCGGCGGTAATTGTAAATGGCAATGTAGAAGCCCAATACTCAGTCAAAACTTCACCTACAACCGAAGTTTCAGAAATCTTAAGTTTAAACTGGTTTGAGAAATTTAAAGCTAATTAAACATTCCTTTAAATTTACTTCAGAGGACTATCACCGGAAAAAATAACATAGCCAAGAGTTATCTTTTAATAACCACATTCTTCTTTGGTGGTACTTGTTATGCATGTAATGTTTGCTCAACCCCGACCATAATTTAAATAGTGCTACATAATCTACTGGTTACTTGCAAGAACACCACACAACCAACAAGTGGCGTGAGAGATAAGTTATTTTTCCCATCAGGATATTTGATTCAGGGTTCTAATTCTACCTCTGTGGTACATGATAGTACAAGTCTCTTCAAACGTGGACTGCGTAGGCGTTTGAAGTCCGGGTCTAACTTGCTAATAGACACGTTATCACAAAATAAACACCAATTCAATGGCGATTCCCAAAACGAGGATATGCAACTGAGCATTATTCAAAAGTTCGTGTAAACATCTGTACTAGAATAGATTGTATCAAGTGCATAATGGATACCTAAGCGGTAGCCTGCGTACACTGAGCGGCAAGGTAAAGGTGATGAAATTCACCTGTTTTTCTTAGTTTGTTGAGCCGTGTTCAATACACATGTTCAAGGGCACGAAAGTGAGCTAGCACGGGATGAGAGGAGACTTCCCGAAGCCTATAAGTAGGAACATGTCCAAAATGTCAGCAAAAGGAAGCAATTAAAAAAATTTCAAACACGGAAATTAAGTTACTCATAAAATGCAGCAAATTTATGAAACATCCACAAGATACCACCAAAGCTCTTAAGAATATTTTTGAGCCCATTAAGTGGTTATGTCTCAAATAAGTCCACAAAGAACAAATAGATAATCGTCCTAAAATGATGTTTTGTTTCATTTTTCTTGTAGTACATCATTAAATACAAGGCCGCACGTGCTGGCTTGGAGCTACTGGTGAGTTCTTCGTATCACTCATTGTAAATTAAGAAGCAGACTTCATGAATTGAAAAGGATTTTTTGTCCAATTTGTTTTTGAAGTGTATTAAAATGATGACTTCACTCTCGCAGTTAAAAGGTTGTGAGGTGTTTTACTTTTTTATCCCAAAGAAATCAAACGGGCTACCTTTTTACCCGAAAACGCAGGAACATGCGCTCGTGTATCCCGATTGAAACTTGCAGAGATATCGTGTCGTTTTACACATGATTACGTATTTGACTCATTATTCTTGTTTTTTTCTGATATCAAGTGCAAAAAGTCGAATTCAATGAAATCCCAAAGCAGGCCCACCCCGAAAAGAACATTGAACGACTTCTTGTATTTCACTTCTATCTGGAGTGCTGACGACTGGAATTTCGGGTAAATGTGCTGTTTTTATTACCGAATAAAGATATCGATCTTAGATTATGAAGAAATTAATTTATCTTGTTTGAACAGGGAACCATCTTCGCTAAAGATGACTTCGATGCTGAGGAAGATGCCAAGACACTCAAAGAGGCCATGAAGGGATTTGGTATATTTATCAAATCGGAAATGTGCACTGAAGGCATACGTTGTGGTGCATTGTGGGATACCTTGCCCTGCACAAAATCCCAATTCGTGGCCCATTTAACAGTCCCACAATGCAACGCAACGTATACCTGCACTACACACTTCCGGTTCGTTAGTCAAAACGTATACATGAATAAATCCGCAAGTAGTCGACCAGAACATGACCAGAACAAACGACCATTTGGACAAACATCTGACAAGTGGGCCAACAAACAAACCGACAGGCAAACCGACTTAACATACTCCCATGAAAAGCACGATCGACATGGTTTCAACTCAAAGTTTCGGGCAGAATGTTAAGAATCCAGAAGAAATACAGATCCCAAATAATGTTATTTCTTCCTTTTCTTTTAAAGGCACCGATGAGGATGCAATCATCGAGTTAATTACCGACAGGACTTCCGAAGAGCGCCAACAAATCGCCTGGAAGTACAAGGCTTGCTACGGCGAGGTAAATATCAAATTTTAAGCATTCTAAATCTTCAATATTGTCACCTTGGTCTGATAATTATGGAGTCATTGAATAGCCATATGGTTAATTTCAATTCGGATTTCTCAGTGCCGACCAAATCAACACATGGTCTAAACCACGACCGAATTTGGCCACAACAGCATTTGCAAGACTCGGCGTGATCTCGCGTGGGTCTCGGTATCGCCCAAAAGAAGGCAGCATAAAAAGGCTGACGTTTAATTAATAACTCGTGAAAGAGGGGGTCGTAGACATTTTTACTGCACACTATATATGGATAGGAACCTTATTAATATTCGTGAGGCTTGAAAAGATTGACAGATATTGCAAACACCATTTGTTACAGCTTTGGAAAATAGACGTACCCAAGCCTATTTTTCCTATTTTAACGAAAATAGTGAACATATCGAAACGATTTTTAGCACGTAGTTGGATCATCGTAAGGGAAACAAACTCCATAAGTGGCATGAAAATACGGTCTTCAAAACAGGAGATATTGATGTTAAAAGATTTTGCCTGCGAACATCAAAATGTCCGGTAACCGTAATTTGAGCTTGTTTCATCCAAAATATAGCATTACGTAACCCTTACAAATCGGCCTTCGCAAAGACAAAGTTGTACCAGAATAGTAACATTGGTTATAATATGGGATAATAAATGTCGAAATGTTTGACTCTTTGTCTTACCTTGTAGAGCCTTGTGGATGACTTGAAGCGGGAGCTGAGAGGCAATTTGGAGGATGCTGTCGAAGCCGTGATGCTCCCAGCGCCTGTCTACGACGCCAAGACACTGCGTAATGCAATGAGAGTCAGTATCATTGAATTAGCATAAAACCAATCAATGGTTATTCTGAAAAATGAATACTTAACGGGTCTATGACATAATTTTTCCTTTCTACTCTTTCTACTCCTCTAACATGTATGAAAACTATTTGGCATCCATTTTGGTTAATTTGATTGAATCGTGCACTGCTTTCAATTTTTTTTTAATTCCATGCTTTTCTGAACAACAGAGGGCGCTGTTGCTGACTTTTCAGGAAGACACCGTTCAGTTTCTGGCAACTTTAGGTGCTGAAATAGCTGTAACAGTGAGGTTTCTGCCTGAAATGACATCACACATTTTGCTGATGAATATTTAATTTCGAATTAGCATAAAAACACAAAAAGGCACCAAAATACCTTGAAATGGCAAAACGAGAATTAAAAATAAGTTTAGATAGGACACAAAGGGGTATTTTCAAGGACTGAATTACAGAAATTACATTGCATGAGCCCTTTAAGGTTTTGTTATTTAGAAAATATTTCAGGCTTTTCGACGTTAATGTTTATAATGTTCATTTTGACGACTTAATACAGTTTGTCCTGTATTTTTTTTACATTTGTTGGCATTGTGTTGTATTGTTGTACAGTAAGCTGATCAAAATAAGTTTGATGTTTGATATATTGTTGTTTTCATTAACTTTACAGGGTGCTGGCACGGACGAAAAGACGATCATTGAGATCATGTGCACGAGGATGAACGAGGTCAGGCAAACAAAAATAACAAACAAAGTTTTGTAAAGTTACAGGTAGCCTGTGCTCAATGTTCACACAATACACAAAACAATAAAATTGGAAAAATCACACACACGTACCGCGTTTTTAGAGTAGTACCTGTGAACTGAAGAAAATAACAATTTCGGAATTTAGGAAGAGTTCCGTTTTCAGTCACCCGATTCGTTGAAGTGTACTGCCAAAATGTGCCTATTTTTGAAATACAAAAAATAAAAAGGGCGACGGAGCGGGAAAAAAATGACTTCGAAATTCAACAGCACATTTTGTTGGGTTGTAAAGTTGCGGCCTGAATTTGGAAATAACGTTTTGCTTTGTTTGTTTCATTTTGTCTTCGTAGGAAATCGAGGCGATCAAGATGGCCTACAACATAAGTAAGTGAGCAAATACAACCTCATCTCATTATTGCAATATTCGTTATATTTGACTTTTCCTGACGTCCCTTTCATACACAGTATCGCGACCGTTGACAAGGCCAATATTTCCGTCTCTGCATTTCCAAAGTATCGAAATTCAAGTATGGGCCATTTCCCAGCTCGTCTCAGTATACAAAAGCTTTTGAACTTTGAACTCTTACCAACAACATTTTTTACTGTGAACAGTTTATGAAGAAAATACTAAGCCTACATAATAGTCTGGTTCCCCGACCAAAAGATTCTGACTATTATTTCTGACGAGTCTTCGGTCAGGTAGCCCTCACAGCTAAAAATAAAACATGATGGCCCCTTTCTCAAAGCTCGGTTTTGTTTCAGGTTTGATGTCACAAAATTCTGATCATATAAAAAAAAATCGAACTGATCATATAAAAAAAAATCGAAAATCGCTTGTTTCATCATACAGTTAGATTTTTCTTTTTAAAAAGTTGATTAATGTTCAGCTTGAATCTTCAAAGTTAGACACCCAAATAGCAGGCGAAGCCGAAATGGAGACGATGCCGCGTTTTAGAAAAAGGTAACCGTCGTCATGGTACATGACGCAGCAAAGCGTTTGAAATTAAATTTCATTTTTTTAATGCAAGCAATGAATTTCAATTATCAACTCATTTTTTTATACTTGAATTGGCATGGGAGGTAAATAAAACCTCTATATATACACGGAAATACCCGGGCGCTATCCGAGAGTGTCGATGAATTGCATTCGGCAAACTTCGGACATTTTCGAACAGAATTCCTGTCGTTTTGGCCATGTGACACTGACGGCTACCTGACTAGACTCATCAGAAATAGTCAGAATATTTGGTCTGGGAACCAGACTAGCCTACAAACAGAGTCAGATTTGGGCAAGCTATGCCACATATCAATTGTTTCTCCGTAATGAATTGTTATTTTCTTGGTGATTTTCCCCACTTTTTCAAGTTTATGATCGCGATCTCGGAGAGGATCTTTACAACGAGACATCTGGAGATTTCAAACACCTCATGCTGGCAATCTATGCGGTATAACCACCACATTTTATTTTAATTTACTGAATTTATTTGCGTGTGGTAGCTATTTAAAACGCACATTTCTACAAAACCATAAATAATTTTCTTGAAGTTCAACAAAAACGAATCGCTTTTAAATTTAGTCAATGACAATTTCCACGTTTGAAACTGTGAGAAGTGGCAACGTCGAAATTACTGCCGATACCAAATTCCATTTGCTTCGACCTGGATCGCTTTTGTTTCGGAGCATTCTTGAACCATGGAGGAATAAGATACAGGTCCGTTTGAACCCCATACCGTGCTGTTGTGACAACGACCTTACAAAATAGGCCAAGTTTCCATAATATCGAGTGCATGATAGTGATATCGGTCGCCTTTTTCTGTTGTCAGTGTGCACGCGATGAAAGTGACGAGGTGGATGAAGACAAAGCCAAGGAGGATGCCCAAGAACTCCTCGATGTAGGTGACATCTCATAAACCCCTTGTTATGTTTGCCATCCCCCCTTTTAATCTTTTAATTCTTCATTAATGGAATTGCAGGAGACCGATGTAGCATTCTTTTTATTTTCTGTGAAATGAAGTTCAAGGTCTTGTAACATTGCACGACTAATCAATACTTCGGACATCCTACAAACCTCCAAAACACCCTAGTGTGATCTTAAAAGACATGGGTGTGTTATGGTCCATTGAGTAAAGACATGTTGCGTCGTCATTTCTATACACGTTGTGCATCACTATGCGCCCTCTCTAGGGGCAGTTTTTATTTCAACTCAGTGACAATGAAAGTACATTACACTCTATATTGATACGTATCATAGAGGAGCAAGATCTGCCCTCAGATATGACGTCAGTTGCAAGTGGTCTGTATTTTTGTACTGTAATGTTGTCAATGTGTTTGCACAGGCCGGTGAGGATCGTTGGGGTACAGATGAGAGCACATTCAACCGCATCCTGGCCACCAGGAACTTCGAGCAGTTGAAGGAAACCTTCAAGCAGTACAAAGAGGTATGGAAAATTACGGAAGTCAGGGGTGTGAGTGACCACTGATAAGAATAGCTGAAAACAGCTGAAAAATGTGTAAAAAAAGCTGAACTTTGGAAATCTCCGATACATGTACTTTTGTACACAGCAAGTGAGGGAAAAAGCTGAAATCCAAAACAAAAAAAAGCTGAAATCAGCTTTAAAGCTGAGATTTCACACCCCTGGGAAGTATCTTTTTTGTACAGGGTGAGTCAAAAAGAAAGTGACCCAGATTAAAGATTTCTTTTCTTAAAAAGCAATCAAAATTGATTCACCAATGAAGTATGTCTTACAAGAGCATGTTCTTTCACTCATCTGAAAAAAAAAATTACTGAAATTGATCGATACCTTCAGAAGTTATGCATGTTTTACTAAAAGAACCTATTATTATAGCTGTCCATGAAATGCCATTGGAAGCTGTGAGCTTAGTGAGAATAACAGATTACATACAAGCATTCAAATTAATGAGATTTTAATCATTAAAATCAGGATTGAAAAACAAAAAACTACTGTCAGATTTTGTGTTTTCAATAAAGAGGAACAACTTGTCAACTCTTTTTCTGAAATATTGATGGCAATTTTTGATTGTTTTCCTTTGCAAGTTTTCGTTCATTCATGGAGGTGGGAAAACGTCCATGTTTCATTGTAATCAATGGGTATTCATCAGTTCGTAGTGCGGTAAATTTTCAGTGGTGGACAGCCGCGTTTTGTGATCCTTTTTTATTGAAATAGACATAACTTTGGAATAACATGCAAATGACGTGAAATGTTCACAGTTAAAATTCAATAAAATGTACTTAACCCTATGTTTTTCATGAAATGGAGCAAGCCAAATTTATAAAAATATTTTTCAAATTCGGTCACTTTCTTTCTCGACTCACCCTGTGAAGTATGTATTTGTAAGCAAATAAAACAAGGAATATTATTGCCGAAGGCTGTAAAGGAAGTCTGTGCGGGATCTTGATCTAGGAGCACATATTACTTTCATTTTGATTCAGATTGCCGACTGCGACATCGAGGAGTCCATTAGGAGTGAGACCAGCGGGAACCTACAGGAAGGATACCTGGCCATTGGTACGTTAAATAAGTCGCGTAATCTGAAACAGTTAGAGCGCCACCTAGTGCTTGCTTCAGGGAGGCAACTTAAACTCACGGCGACATCTTATGCACCGAGATTTTTTTTTAATTACTCGTTTGTTGTTAACGTGTGGTATGATAAACAAAAGTGTATTCCAATAAAAAACAAAATCGGTGATTTATGTGTTTGTTTTATTTCAGTTTCCCGCGCAAAGAGCTGTGCCGAGTTCTTTGCAGACCGCATGTACGACTCGATGAAAGGCGCCGGGACAGACGATGAACGTCTCATCAGATGTATTGTCACACGCTCTGAGGTAATGTGCCGAAACACAACTCAGTTCGTTCAATTAATTAAACAAAACTGGACATAACAACGTGGACAAATGTTTATATGTACACCTTATGAGGTGAATCTAAACCAGTGAGGTTTAAAAACACGGTAGGTCTATCTGCAAGCTTCTTATAATTTCTCTGCCCCCATTATGACTATAATGGTCAATGTAATCTTCACTGTTTAACAAATCCAAGATGGCGGCCCCCCTGGAACATTATGTAGAGCGTCTTATCCCAATATGATGAATTAGGCCAAAACAAAAAGTCTCCGATTTCTGGTATGCGCGCGCGTTGCCGTAGCCATGCGCGTCGGCAAAATGAAAAAAAATTTTTTTTCAATACAAGATGATGTCTCAAAACCGCCAAACTCACTGGTTTGACTGGAATCCTGCTGCTGCACAATTTTAACGTTTTTTTTAGATGGGGTTATGATCGAGAATAAGCTTTATGTGGCCTCTCTGGATTCCCATATATTTTCACTAAGTTTAGTCGGGCACCATTTGCAGTCATCAGCCGACATCTGAAGCAAAACAGTCAGGTAAAAAAAAAAAAAGCCGCGTCGCCGCACCACTTTTTGGACAAGCTCCATACCAGAAACCGGAGACTTTTTTTTTTGGCCTTACCTGACATTTTTTAGTGGGAGATTCCATAATGGCTCATTGTCAAGAGTTGCAAAAACGCCTATCTGAAAACAAGGCTGCTAATGGTTTTCAAAATTATTTTGCATCACGAGGAAGGCTCAGAATGGGACCTTGAGAGCAGAGAAAGGAAAAAATAGTATAACTGGACAACACTTGACACCGTGTGCACAAACCATGATACCGTGTTGTCTCTGTAAATCCTTCAATATATTCCCTGCTAAATTTGACTTTTTAGGACATATTGTCACTTTCTGAAGGCTGATAGGTCACTGCAGGGTAAAATTGGTAATGTCCATGTATGGAATTCTTTCCCAGAAAAACATGCAAAACAAAATCTGACCAACTTTACCCACAATTTAGCAGACAAAATTCCCAAACTTTTCATGGGGCAAAGACAAGGTCCTCAGTATGTCATCAGCCAAGAAGACCTTTCTTCAAAACTTTGCGCCTGAGAGTGATGCAAAGTGATTTCAATTTGAAGCCTAAGACTAGACTGGTGCATGTCCAACTTTTTAAAAAGATTGACCCTTCAGTTGATTGATGCATTCCCTATAAGGGTGTTGGACTGATTGTTTCAGGTGCCAGTCTATTTTCTTGTATTGTATGTTAGTACCAAGGGCGGATCCAGGGGGGGGGGCCAAAGGGGGCCATGCCCCCCCCCCCCCAAAACGAAAGCAATTTTTTTTTTTTATGTGACATCGCAATAAAGGCCGGCAATGAGTACACCACCATCTTTTCCTTAAAAAAAACATTGGTTAAAGTGGTCAGAAATTGCCTCAGATCGCACCATAGAGCATCTAGAATCCAAAAAAAATGTTGGCCCCCCAAAAAAATTGTGTTCTCATCCGCCCTTGGTTAGAAGCCTAGCAAAGACTAGCAAAGAACCTAGCCAGTCCATGTAAGGCCGAATAAAAAAAAACATGTTTCTCGTCCGGGTTTTTGAAAAAAAGGAGGAAGAGGGGCTTTTTATTTTTTATCTTTTTCAAGATGGTCGCAATTTTAAAATTTCCTGCAACCGTTGGTGTTTCCACTGTTCAAAGACACTTTGAAAATGAAAGACAAGTTGGACAAGAAAGCTGAACATATTTACAGTGTCATTTAGAGTTGTGTTTGTCACATATTCGCAAGTATTTATTTTCCGATGAATTTGTGGACTTTTTCGGTTTTTTTACTGCATTTTTCAAAATAAAAAATAATTAAAAAATCAAGGCAGCCTCCAAAAAGGAAGCGGGCGGGGACGAGAAACATGTTGTTTTTTTAACTTCGCCTTACTCATTAAAACTTAAAGTATTTCAGTTAATATAACATACTGTCCTCAATCAGCCTCTGTACCGATGTCGTCACACTTTGTTTACAAAAAAAAAATACATGTGCACTTTTCTATGGGGCTACAAATTGTTCCCACCAGGCTCCCATAAGAAAGCACACATGTAAACAAAGCGTGACGTCATCAGCACAAAGGCTTATACAGTGCTTGCAAAGAGCACGCAGGTTCTGTTATTTAAAACCAGTGAAATCAAAGAGCAAAATGTCAACTCACGTGCGTGCATATCCAGGGTCAAAGTTTGACCTGTCCAACGTGAGGGCTCTCTTGACTCAACACATGCAGGAATAAACAACACACCCAGTTCAACTTCAACCAAATGAAGCAATACACCTCCAATAATATCCTCTGTGTTCTCTTTGAAGATCGACATGAAGAGCATCAGGATTGCCTTCTTCCTGAAGTACGGCGTGGGCCTGAAAAGCTTCATCGAGGCCGACTGCTCTGGGGATTACGCCAAACTGCTCGTTGCTCTGGTCAAGGCGGATGAGGATTAGAGCGCCGCCAAGAGGGCAAACAGAGCCAATTACTTATTAATCAAAATAGCATCAATCAATAGACATTAGAGCCTGCACTGAGGCCAACTCTGAGGGAGTCTTTTGTTGTTGAAATAAAAAATAATAAAAATACAAAGTGTCAACATGTACTCATGACAAACATGAAGGAACAAAGGCACTGCCCTCAGATGTGACGTCAGATGCAATGCATCTATACCCAAGTAGCTACATCGACATACTAGGCAGTTAAATATGCTCCATGGCCATCCAAATTCCGCACACAATATGCTATACTAGATACTGAAATAAATCTAGATTTGCTTAGTAATAATTTGCATTTATTTTTTCTCATTGTTGCATGTCTTTGGAATCCAAATATCAAACATCCATTAATTTCAATAGTCGTGGACAATAATGTTACGATTACAAATTCTTGATGGATTTTTTTATTTGCACTTAAATATTAAAAAAGTGAATAATTACACAGTTTAGTAAAAAAAATTTGGTTCAACAACTTCCATTAAATTATCTTACAGTCAGGTCACAGCTAGACGCCGAATTAACGATTAGTTTTTAAGAATTCCAATTATTTTTGAGTTGCCTTAGTTAAATGAAATAGGAGCGCATGCGTACATCGTTCCAAGCTGGGTAAACAGACAAATTATTACTGGCAGACATTTTAATATTCAAATCAACGCTTCAGCATACTTTCTTCTCAAAGAAATTCTGGTATACGGATTTTGGGGTTCAGCTAAATGTTAGTTTGCTTAACTTAATAAGTAAGGTACATTGTATTAATTTTCCTATATTAAGCGATGATAAATAATGCATGTCAAGAAGATTACCACGGAATGTATTTTGTTAAGTTTTCTTTAGAAACATCATTGTGATTTATTTTGTGAATCAAAGCGGAAACAAATGATTCATCGGAAAGGGCGCTTTGAAAAAAACCCGAAAAGAAACTGTTTGAAATAAAACACAACACAAAAAAAATAAAGAAATCGCTCGAGCCTGGGATTTTTTTCCTTCAAACAAGGATCTCGGATAAATGCGGTTATTCTACAGGAGGAACTTCTTCAAGAGTTACGCGTTCATTGTTTTGGGGAAAATAATGAAAAAAATCAACAACAGCATTACCAAAATTTTAAATTATTCAAAAACCAGGAGGGTGTTCCACTCATGCATGAATAATTTGTATGCAATATTACAAGGGTAAGCGAACACAGTCTCGAACACAGTCTCGTAAAATCTCGCGAAGGCTTTTGGGCCATGCGTGTGTGACCTCGGGACAAGAAGCTGAGGTCAAACAGGGCTGTGTGCATTATACGGCCACTGACTGGTCCGCTCAAATTATTATTTAGGACGCCAAGGCAACGAAGACAAACAGAATGAAAACAGGAGTCAAATTGTACTTGATCCAAAACTTGTTCTTTCAGAAAGACTTTACAATATTTCATGCTCATGACATCAATATCAATTTGAGCTCACAAAGCTAGTGTCATAATATGATGAATTAGATTCAATCTCTACAAGGTACAACTTTAAGCTCTAAGTTTATAAAGTAAAGTTTAGTTAAGTTCCTAGTAGTCTAAGTTTCACCTGCTATAATTACAGTTCCTGATTCGAATTGTAAAGTTCCATACAGTTTCAAATATTCAAAATTCTGCTTATAGTCGTCATAATTAAAGTTAAAGTTCCCCGAACGCCAGGTCAGTGAACGACATGGCGGCACCGTTGCCTGACGTCATACTCGAACTCTTGACGTCATATTCGAACTCTTGGCACAAGATTCATTTTGAGGAAGTTCGATCAGGAACATTTTGTTAAGCAGTGTTAAATTCGTGATGCACGGTGCACATGCGTGCTAAACTTAAGTCTCACGTTGGTCAAAAGTGGACATAAAAGAAATCCCTGTTGCGCATTGTAATACAGACGGATACTGATAACCAGCGGTACACAAAAACATCGGCAAGTTATCGTGTTTTAACAACACCTGAATAAATCCCCGTCATCTGATTGGTGGATCGTTGATCACGTGTCATTGAATTATTCGTACCAATGCACGGCGCGCGCGTGGCGCGCAGCGCACAGTGCAATGGAAGTACTATTGCACTGTGATTAGAAGTACCATTGCACTGTCACTGCACATGTTGCCAAAGGTGGCGCTGTGGTGTTTAAATTGGCAATAAAAGTTCTGGACTTATTGAACTGTTTAAGTTTTAAAGTTATGGAAAAGATTTAAATTGAGATAACTTGAATATGATTGTTCTCAACCTATTGAACAGTTTGCATAAATTAAATATGATAACTCTGAACTTGTCAAACTTGTAAAGAATTTTTAACTTGAATAAATTGGCTATTAAAAGTCAACCCATCAGATGACAAGGATTTATTCAGGTGTTATAAAAAACAAATAATGAATGTTTCACGTTCGTGCAATAGAAAGAATAATTTCATTCGGTGGCAGATGAAATGTTCCATTCCACGAGGCGAAGCCGAGTGGAATGGAACATTTCATCTGTCACCTCATGAAATTATTCTTACTATTGCACTCACAAACATTCATTATTTGTATACTATAAAAGGTCACCTATAAGGCGTGATGTTTGTTCTTACCCGACGTGATGTGTTCGTATCGCGGCGTGATGTTTGTCCTTATATCCGGGGTGATGTGTGTGTTTCGTGGCGTGATGTGTGTCCTTACCCGGCGTGATGTGTGTGTATCACGGCGTGATGTTTGTCCTTACCCGGCGTGATGTGTGTCTATCGCGGCGTGATGTTTGTCCTTGACGGCGTGATGTGTGTGTTTCGCGGCGTGATGTGTGTCCTTACGTGATGTGGGTGTTTCACGGCGTGATGTGTGTGTATCGCGGCGTGATGTTTGTCCATCGCGGAGTGATGTTTGTCCTTACCCGGCGTGACGCGTGATGTGTGTATCTCGGCGTGATGTGTGTCCTTACCCGGCGTGATGTGTGTGTATCGCGGCGTGACGTGTGTCCTTACCCGGCGTGATGTGTGTGTATCGCGGCGTAATGTATGTCCTTACCCAGCGTGATGTGTGAGTATCGCGGCGTGATGTTTGTCCTGATACCCGGCTTGATGTGTGTGTTTCGCGGTGTGATGTCTGTCCTTACCCGGCGTGATGTGTGTGTATCGCGGCGTGATGTGTGTCCTTACCCGGCGTGGGTGTGTGTACCGCAGCGTGGTTGGTATATTTCACAAGAAATGATTAATATTTTTTGTATAAAATGATGATTGAGCTAATTATTTGTAAGACTAAGGATTATTTACACATCAAAATATGTTTATGCTAGCATTTTAAACGACTTTTTATTGGCTATAATAAATAATGGAATTAAGCTGACAAATTATTTCTAAATAATAACATTTCATGTACAAATTACTTGTAAATAATTATGTTGCAAAAATCATTTGAAAAAATATTGAGATAAATGTGACAAACTTATACTATATTTTTGTTTAAAGACATTACGTCACGATACACACACATCACGCCGGGAAAGGACACACATCACGCCGTGATACACACACATCACGCCGGGTAAGTAAGGACAGACATCACGCCACGATACACACACATCACGACGGGTAAGGACAGACATCACGCCGCGATACACACACATCACGCTGGGTAAGGACAGACATCACACCGCGATAAGGCGATACACACACATCACGCCGGGTAAGGACAGACATCACGCCGCGATACACACACATCACGCCGGGAAAGGGCACACATCACGCCGCGATACTCACACATCACGCCGGGTATAAGGACAAATATCACGCCATGATACACACACATCACGCCGGGTCAGGACAGACACCACGCAGCGATACACACACATGACGTCGAGTAAGGCTATACATCACGCCATGGTACACGCACATCTCGCTGCATTTTTCAGGTACACCTGATGAATTAACGTGGAATAACTACTACCAGTATCGTCATGTAGAGCGCGTCCCAAAGGCATTACGCAAGATTCACGATGCTTCAGCCAAGAACACTGGGGGCGTCCTAACCGTGGACTCGGACCTGCCAGACACGAACATGAATTCCGTTTTCATGTTGGATTATCTAGTTGAGACGTCAGGTTTAAAGTTGGTGGATTTAAACGAGTGCGTCACTCAGTCGCGGTATTTCTCATTTTTTGGTGGAATTTCATAATTTAGAGCCATGTTCACTGTAGTCTAGTATTTCTTGTCACTGCATTATTTACGAATAAGTTTGTCACATTATCTCATTATTTTCAAATATTCTTTTTGCAACATTATTGACTTACGAATAATTTGTAAACGTCATGTCATTATCTACATTTTTTGCAACATAATTATTTACAAAATAAATCTAACGTTTTCTGATTTTTTTCAAATACTTTGGCCACATTATTATTTAGAAATAATTTGTCAACAGGGCTTTCATATGGATGCGTTAAGATTACTATGAAACATGACAATGTCGCTAAGAATGTTTACATTATTTTGTTCCATTGTATAAAAGGTACTTGATGGCACTCCTGGCAAAGCTGGAAAGGTTTATACGAATTGCGCCAGTGGCTCTGTGGCTTTAACAGTCGCTGTGGGCATGAACTACAAACATGCGCGGAGCTCGGAGGTAAGAAGAGACACTAACAGTCCACGCCATGTACATGTAGATAAGTCGAACCACAGTTCGATTGGATTGGTTTGGTTTGGTCACGAAGATATTTAAGATCAAGTTCTCCAACCAAAATGTGGTATGAACTTATCAGAGTGGTCTAATTTGGGGTTTGTATTGTATATGCTATTCAATAATGTCTTGTACATCTGCATTTTTCAGGTACACCTGATGAATTAACGTGGAATAACTACTACCAGTATCGTGATGTGGAGCGCGTCCCAAAGGCATTACGCAAGATCCACGATGCTTTATCCAAGAAAACTGAGGGCGTCCTAACTGTGGACTCGGACCTGCCAGACACGTACATGTGTACATGAATTCCGTTTTCATGTTGGATTATCTAGTTGAGACGTCAGGTTTAAAGTTGGTGGATTTAAACGAGTGTGTCCCGGTATTCCATATTTTTTTTTATGGGATTTTAGAATTTAGAGCCATATTCATAATTATAGGCCTATCCGCTCCATTCACAAGTACCCCCTCACCGGCAAAGAAAGCACAGTTAAAACAGGAAGTAGTACATATGACGATTTCAGGGACTTTTCCTAAAACAAATGTGGCCGAGACAATCATGGAGGAATTGAGAGAAAATGACAAAACTGTTTTGACCCCTGCCAGTACATTTTCAATGGGCCGATTGCGCTTTTTGCATTCAGTTTTATTTATGCATATGCAAGCATGAATTTGAATTCATTAGTGAACGGGGCTATGCAGATTGATGAGCAATTACGCCTTTAATCTGTGCAACAGCAGCTTATATGATCTCTTGAAGCCTACTGCTGCCAGGGTTTTGTGCCATTTCAAATTTATTAAGACGCTTCTTCTCGAAACTTATGATAACCAAAAGTACACCAGTTTGCACTGCACTAATGTTCCTGGCCAAATGACGTCACACTTACGAAGAGGAACAAGAGTAACGCATAGCATGCAGCATGCATGAATATTTAAAATACAGGCGTGTCCCATAGTGTGGGTAATTGGCATACCAGGTTTTTTTTTGCTTACGGGTGAGGACAGAAATCACGCCGTGATACACACACATCACGACGGGGTAACAGGACACACATCACGTCGCGATAGACACACATCACGCCGGGTAAGGACACACGTCACGCCACGGTACTCACACATCACGCTGGGTAAGGACAGACATCACGCCGCGGTACTCACACATCACGCTGGGTAAGGACAGACATCACGCCGCGATACTCACACATCACGCCGGGTAAGGACACACGTCACGCCGCGATACACACACATCACGCTGGGTAAGGACAGACATCACGCCGCGATACACACACATCAAGCCGGG